ACAAACCAAAGAAAACCCAGCAGAGCAACAAAATAATAAACAAAAAGGAATAACAAGACTCTTAAGGATCTTAATATCTGAATTGGTGTGGGTACAACAATTCAGATGATATATCCTAAACAATGTGTTGGGTCTTGCAGAACCTAGCTGCTATTCAACCCTAAAGGGTTTCTGGACCAGGCTCAAGGCTCAGAGGAGAGGAAATATCATAAAAACTTGCTGAATACTCAGACTCATAGTAGAACTGGTAAAAAGATAACTTTCTTTATGTAAGCTAAGGTGCAAACATACTACTAGGTAAAACAGTCTCTGCAAGGCTAGCCAGGAATCATTCCCTACATCGGCTCACCTAATCTGAGTTCTGAGATGCAACAGAACAATAAACAGAGTACAACACTCTGAGCAATCAACAACCAAAAGATGGATAACAATGATAAATAAGAGACTACAAACCGATAGAATCACTGCAAAAACAATCATACGCAAAGAAAAATACAAAAACCTAGTCACCTCCACTTGGTCTGACGTAATCACAACAAAAACTAGGTCATCACCCTTGAGGTTTTAGTAAATATCATACCACCCAGGCCCTCTACAAACAAGGCCCCCAGGTAATCATAGAGTCCCACACACTCGCCATATAGTAGGAGCGCATCAGTGCATTTTCCCTCGGAACGGTGTTCCTAGAACACTGCTATAGCACGTACTTGTAGAGCTAGACTTAGTCAGTTGCTACAAATATACATCGCTTGTCCAAAAAACAAAAAGAAAAGACATACATTAGACTATCATGATTCTAGGACTTAGTGAAATTTGGGCTATCTATAGCACATGACACTGTATTGAGACATCTAGGACTTACAAAAATTTTGCCAACAGCACATGACATTGTGTTGATGTTCCAGAACTTAATGAAATTTTGTTGGCCAATAATCTTACAGGAATGCATCATATAACAGTACATGTTTATCTAATAGGAATGGAAAGCCAAAGGTATGCAATATATATAGACAGGAGAAAAGGTGTGTCCCAAATAGGAACAGAAAACCAATGGTGTATGATATATCTAGAGAAGAGAATATATTTAAATAAGAGAAGGCATGGTTCCAATATGATGGCTAAGGAACAGAACACTTAGCATGCTACTTCTTGGGAAATTGATACTAAGAAGCATAGAAGCATTGGAGGAATTAAAGTACATCCTGAATAGAATAGCTGGCAATACAAAGAAGCATGTATGCATACTGACTAAGAAGCTGTTTTTTAGCCTTGGCATTAGTATTGATACAGAGAAATGTGTATGCATACTATTGTTGGAGCTGGAGATCCTCACCAAGTATCAAAAACTATCCTGTTACTATCTCTTGGGTTTGTATTGATAATTATAACAGTATACCATCAGGGGTATAGGAGTCTCCAGATCTAAACCCACACCTCTACCCTCAAGTACCCTTACCCCAGGGGTTACTCATACCCATGTCCATCCCTACCTTCATTTCTGTTTGTATTTGCCTTTAGGCTTTTACTATCTGAATATCACCAAAGTTCTCAGGAAGCAATCTCACATACCACTTTATGTCTGTAAGACCTGCATCTGAAAATTCTCATTCACATAGTACTAAGGACCCTTGGATGAGCAAATAATCAAGCACAATGCGGCTGAGGATGGGAAACTTGTTAGTTATATGATCATTCACCTCTACAGTACGCATTTCTATGTCTTTTATGTGTCTTATTGTGCCTTCATGCTCATAGCATTATTCCTGACACTTTACTTACTATTTACATGACTTCCTGACCTCCCTAGGTCGTCCCTAGGTCGAGTTATTACTTACTCTTTGATTGTGGCTTGTCTGTTTACATTTGTTTACCATACGTCGCCCATATCTCAGAGTCCAGTGCTCCCTGCCTCTTTGGCAACTTACTCTGGACTCTAGGTACTGTACAACTTTACTACACCATTCAATAGATTGGCAACTTACTCTGGACTCTAGTCTGATCTCTTCTGGCCTCTCAGTAGCCTCTAGAAGCGGCCCACTTCACTCTCATCTTAACAAAACTAGGATGTATTTATCTGATTAGTGTTGAATGTGAATGTCACAGGAATCTTTGAGTGTTCCATCTGCATTGACTGCACATTAGTCATCCATAGTGCAAATTCACAATGCTTAACTCTAGTATTCACCACTCAGTAGTAGCTATGCCCAGGTGTATCAGCCACAAGCTAGCTTAATATATTACAACTGTGCAGTACCTAGTACTAATTTATCCTTTAACTTTGCTAATCATATATTCTCACTTCATAGCTTATTCTCTCCATCCTCATTAGCCAGCTACCTCTGTCCTCATCACCCAGCTACCTCTGTCCTGATTATCTGAGCAAAACCATCAGTGACAACATATCACCACAGATGGTGGCTGAAATAGCCACCTTCTTACCCATCTCATCACTCATGAGTCGTGACAATGAAGTCTGCAAATGGTAGGATATAATATTAGAGATTCAGATATGTAGCTCATTATGCGCTGTTATCATCTTATTGTTAAGTCAATTGTTTTCAGATAAATTCAAACATTCACATTACTCGATGTCTCTCTTCCAGCTTGTCTCATCCTCCTCCTTGCCTTCTTCCTGTAGAAGTCTAGAGAAGACTCAGCAGGAGTTAATAGAACAACACTATATTAATATGTACCTAGAGAAGACTAGGTAATGTTACATGTCAATGAATGTGTCAAGTACACGATACAAGATACTCACCTCAGTGGGAGTTAATAGAATAATGCTAAGGTGGGAAAAGGTGTGAAGCAAGTACATATGGGTCTATGGAGAATCTGTGGCTGAGTGGTGATGGTGCTGTATAGTACATAGCAAGAAGGAAGAGAAATGATATATCAAGAATGTGTAATCAAGATGCTTATGTCAACACACCCCCTCACCAAGACACCAGGTGCAGGCCAGGCAAGTGCCTCTCGAAGAGGGGACATGCAAGTGCTTTGGTAAAAATGTCTGTGGTGTTCATGTGAGATTAAGTAAGAACATCCCTTTTTCGATATGCTCGCAGATAAAGAGGTAATAAATATCAATGTGTTTCGACTGGATGTGGTTGCGAGCTTCAGTGGAGAGAGAGATAGCTCCTGTATTGTCCATGTGGATCAGGATGGGGAAGCTGAGTGGTATGTGGAGTTGAGTGAGAAGAGACTTCAGCCAGAGTCCTTCCTGAATAATGTGCATAACAGCCATGTATTCCACCTCCGTGGACGAGAGTGCGTGGGTGGTCTGCATTTTGGACACATGCACAATGACTCCTCCAGCAAAGAACCAGACATAGCCAGAAATGGACAGTCAATTATCCAGAGAGCTCGCCCAGTCAGCATCACAATAAGCGTGCAGACCTTCATTCATCTGGGCACTCCCATAATGGAGATGAAGATTCTGAGTCCCATAGAGGTAGCGAAGAAGACGTTTGGCGGCAGTGAAATGCATGAGTGAGGGATTTGAGTTGTGCTGAGCAAGGGAATTGACTGCATAGGATATGTCAGGGCGGGTACACACTGCGAGGTATAAGAGTTCCCTGATGAGTTCCTCAAAGCCCTTTGGCTGTCTCATGTACAACTCTTCTTTCAACACTCCCCACAAGAACACCTGTTTGGTGTCAAACACATCAAGGTTCTAGCCGTATTTGCAGGTGAGTGCTGCCATAAGTTGCAGGGAGGCAGTTTTAATGATGGGGGCAAAAGTGGTGCCATAGTCGACTCCGGGAATTTGGGAGAAACCTTGTAAATTGGTCCTCCCTTATCATCCTCCTTAAATTCCAAAACCCATTGGTTCCCAATTGCCTGTTGTCCCTTAGGCAGCGCAGTGACCCTGTAGACCTTCATCTCAGACATGATCCCAAGCTCCTTCTTCATTGCCGTGAGCCAGTGCTCATGATCCGGACATAGCATCGCTTCCTTGTAAGTAGCCAGAGGAATCTTCATGTCGTAATCTGCGCTCAATGGATTCCATTTGCAATCACTGTGAATTGTAATGTTTGCCTGCTCCTCAATGACAATGTTTGCGAATACTTCAGGCACATCAGTATTGGGTTCTATATCTTCCAGGTTGCTTGGGAGAGCCTTGTCTGTCAATAGAGCATCTGCCACTGCAGGCACCCCCTCGCTCGAGGAAGCCACCACACAATGCTGATATACATTGTGAAGGGCCTCAAGCCAGGCACGAGATGCAGTGATATCATCCTGAAATGTGTGACCGGCGTCTGTGAGCATGCGCATATGAGTTGACCTGCGAATGAGGGGAGGAGAGGAAGGAGCATGAGGAGAACTAACGGCGACAGTGAGAGTGGGGAGTGGACTGGAGGTGGGCTGATCACCATCAGAGTCAGAGTCAGAGTCAGATTGAAAAAGAGAGATACTGGGCATATTCTCATCAAAAATGACATCCTGGGCAACAAAGAATGTCCCAGTGTGATGGTCACAAAGGTGATACACTTTTGTCCCCTCAGGGTAACCAACAAAGTAGCATGATGGGGGTGGGGCCCTAGCTTAGACTGTAACTCTGATAGGATGCAGGCAAAACAGCATGCCCTGAAGACGCAGAGATGGGAAAGGTCAGGCTGACAGCTATTGATGAGCTCGAAGGGTGCGGTGCCTGTGACCGGGAGGCACTGGATTTGGACCTGTTCCACAGGTAATATGCAGTTAGCACTGCCTCACCCCACATGTTTGTTGGAAGATGGGCAGTCTCCAGCATTGCAAACATTCGGCCCTCCAAAGTGCGAATGGCACACTCTGCTTTCCTGTTTTGTTGGTGAGCATAAGGTGCTAAGAGTTGCCATTCTATGCCAGCGTCCTGCAAGGCACATGTGAAGTCATTACCAATGAACTCCCCCCTCCATTATCAGACCTAAAAGCCTTCACAGTGCATCCAACATGACTCTCCCAACGAGCACAGATTATCTGTCATGCCTCCAAAGCCTGATCTTTGCTGCCAAGGAGCTGATTCAGATGTTGAGGGAATTGGTGTGGTCATTGAGAAAGATAATAAAGTGGAGTTTGCCATGAGGTGTGATGACTGGGAAGGTCACAGGTCAGAATGGATGAGATCGAGCATTTGCTTTGCTCTTGGTTCAGTGGAAGGAAGGTACAGCCAATGAGGATGTTTGGCGATAATGCAGGACTCACAATGCTGCAGAGGCATGGTGTGTGTGACTGTGACATCTTTGGCTATAAGAGGAAGTTGCTTGACAGCATCACCACCTGGGTGGCCCATGCACGCATGCCAAAGATCCCATGTGATGGGAACATGCGCAAACACTGAGAGCTCCTGAGGCAATGAAGGAGAGGCGTCTTCTGGACAAACAAACCATAAGTCAAGGAAGACTAACTTCCCAGTCATGGGAATCTCCCCGATAGGTGTTCCCCAGAAGGTAAGTTGACAGTGTGCGGCAGCAGATAAGAAGCTGACCACCCAGCCTTTCTCCACCATATAACTGACAGATAGGAGGTTGATCATGGCACCAGGAGCATGGAGACAATTGGTAAGGCACAGGTGATGTGTCTTGCCTCTGATCATGAGATCTGCGACCCGAAGTTGGAAGATGTCTGTAATTCGCCATCTTCACAGTTATGTGAGAGTCGTCCGCATAAGTCCAGAAGAACTCACAGCCAGTGATTAAGGTGGAGGTCGTGCCAGAGTCAAGGATTGTGGACATCGACTGACTTATGATACAGGCCATGTCATCTGCGTCCAGCAAGGAATCATTGTGAACCTCCTCAATAACAGTGCATGCCAAATCCGAGGTAGGCTGAGTGGATGGGGAAGACATGTTGGTGTTTGCAGGGGATGTCGACACATTTGGTGTGGCAGCAGCAGTGATCTTCTTGAAAGGCCTTTTGGTGCAAGCATTGTGTTAAGAACATGCTCAAAGGTTCGGATCCAAAGGGCTCGGCTTAAGCTTGTACACTGCGCCCCTTACCCAAGTACATGCCCTCAACTTCCAAAGGCTATAGGATGTCATCCAAAGCACAGGAATTACGGCGGACATTCGGAAACAAGATAGAAGACTAATCCAGACAATGTCCAAACTAGAAAGGAACAGCGGAAGACTACCGAAGGGAGAGGCAGAGGTGTTTAAGTCAATAGGAATCAATCCTAAGACTATCGGAAGACAATGAGAGGAGAAACTCAAGTTGGACGGAAGCAGGAATGAGCAGAATCTAATATGATATTCGAACTGAGGATGTACAGAGAATTTACAGGGTTTTTATACTACAGAAACATAACGGAAGTTCAGTCAGTGCAGTGCAAGGCTATGTACAAAGCATGTGGAAAGCTTATCAATAGTATAATGAACATAACAGAATGAAGTCAGAAATGAAACAAGGTCTGGATAAATGAATATAGTTGGATATGTAAATAACCAGAGGACCAGTAAAAGGAACTAACCAAAACAGGACATACGAAATGAGAAGGAAAACGGAAGTAAGAAGCGGGTCGGATCTGGACATCCAGAAATGAGTGTGTGATTGGTCTGGGTCTGGAATGCAGGATATAACACATTGCCTCCTTTTTCTTCTATTCCTTCACCCGGTTGAAAACAGTGCTCACAGTCATGAGTTAGTGACCGTGGCAAGCCTGCGCAGGCCGAGTTGTTGCATGCGACTCCCTTAGGATTTGACTTGTGCATGCAGATCCTGGTTCTATGATTTGCCTTTGAGTCTGACACGGTGTTAGCATACTCAGAACCAGGCCCTAAGAACTTGTCTTCCCCTCAGATCCTGTTGGCTTCTTCCGAGAGGTGGGATGTGACAGTCATAAATGTCATTGCTGGAGCTGCAACTGTTGTGCTGGTGGAACTCGCTGCAAGAAGGGAGGAGGAGCTGTATAATGCTATGGTCATGCATTTAAAGATCATCCATTCTGGGGTTTGCAGCAGTCCCTGCAGAAGAAGAAAGACTGCTTCTCCATCAGTGAAGGTAATTACCATTTTGGCAAACCATCGTCTCACATGTTCAAAGACACTGATATAGTGTGATACATCATCCACATCTTTGAGCTTTTCAGTGAAGAGCTGTGCTCATAACTCAAATTGAGAACTCATGTCTAGGTGTCCAAAATTCATGGCAAGGATGTCCCATTGCTCTTGAGCAGTGGACGACTCGTCCAGGAGTCCTTGGATGACGGCCGAAAGTTTTCTGCAAATAATTCCTTTCATTTGCACATCCTCTTTGATCCACTTGATCATGGCTTGCTTTTCTGCTGCAGTGGGATTTCTGGCTGCAGTGGGAGAGGGCATTTTTGATGCATATTCTGCAAAATTGTTGGGTTTGGTACCCTATGCTAACCAAGTGGCAGGGTCATTCATCTAACTTCGCGCATAATGCGCTCCGCTCTATTTGCCTTCGAGTTTTCTATGATAGTAGCTCGAAGTCTTTGCGTCAATTCCCTGCCTTTTGAAAGACTATTCCGGACAACGCTATCATCCTGATTGCAACAATCATGAATATACAGGTAGTACTAGTATGCTCACAGTAATCAACTGATTTTCCCCAAGGTTCGAAATGTTCTCGACATCTATTCCAGGCATGGTCAAGCAAACACAAAGCAAACAAACATTATAGATTCGGAGATCATCTACAAGAAAATCGCTGGCCTATTCAAATGTGTTAGCGATGACAAGTATCATGGTCTGAAGCTCCACAAGATGCTTCAGTCTTGGGCACAGACCGGCATGTAAGTCTGTTTGATTTGTCTTACTAGTACTAGTACTATTATTGACCATCACATAGGAACGATGTCACTATGAGCAATGAAGACAGTGATGGCGGTTCTGAATGGGAGGTTGATCTTGATTAGTTGTACTACTATTATCTTTAGCCCTGCTTTTCACTTTACTTCGCATAGTAGTACTATGACCATTTTTGCAGTGTCCATGTCTAATTGAATTGTGTTTGTTTCTCACTAGTACGGTCCAAGTGTGATTGAGTCAGTGGTGATAGTATTCTATCATGTGAGATAGTGTACTTGAACCCATACATTGCTATATAACATTGTACAGCATGGTCGTGTTGTGCAGCTGCCTAGTGCTGTGCAGTGCTACCCGCACTGTGCCATATTGGGTAACCGGGTCCAGTCACGCAGTGTGACACACACACTGTGTAGCATTGTGACTCGGCTGTGCATGGGGGGACTTTGCTGTGAACCCTGAGTGGCTGTACGGCACTGTGCGGCACTGCACAGTGCCGTACAGCCACTCAGGGTTTTGCTGATGCGCCTAGCGCTGTTCGGAACTGAGAAGATAGCGGTAATATGTATTAAGGGTCCATAATGCAAGTGGCGAAACATACGCGATATCACCTTCGGAAATATAATCAGTCTAACGTGAATGAGTTAAAATACGCACCAATGGACAAGCGGAGGACATGGATAGGACGGAGGAAGGATGCATGACAGAACCAACAAAAAGCGGATGCGAACCGAAGCGCATGCGTGAGCCATGGCCGTTGGCTGACGATAGGAAGGATGCGCGCCATGGTAGTGATAGCGCGCGCTGCGCTAGGACCAGAGGAACACTGCAAAAATAGCCTCTACAAGGCTACAAGGACTACAAGGACTACAACGCGATGTGGCAACTTGATGGAATTTGACCTTCGACATGTTGAATTATGCCCTTAAGCATCGAGGAGACGTGGATGCTGTTACCCAACAGCAGGACTTGGGTTTGCGGAAGTTTGAGTTGGAGGATCATGAGTGGGTTATATTAGAACAGCTGTGAGATGTACTTAAGGTTAGTGCATTCCTGTTTTGTCACAACTGCGTGCTGACATTGTTTATTTGTATCTGTTAGATTCTAAAGGACGCAACACTGTACTTTTCACGCACAACACCCAACCTTGTGACAGTGATCCCAGCAATGGATCACGTCAACAATATGCTAATGTCATACTCCCGCAACAAAATATACATGCCCTTGATTCATTCAGCAGTTCAGCTGGCCAAGAACACCCTCAACCGCTATTACGAGCTCACCGACAAGTCTCTGACATATTGAATCTCAATGGGTATGTACTGTTCAATCTCGGTCTTCGAAAAATTACTAACATTTATATAACTCTAGTCTTACATCCACAGCACAAACTAACATACTTCAAGGCTGCGCGATGGGAAGATGACTGGATCAAAACCGTGGAGAGACTTGTGCATGACAAATTCGAATGTTCGTACTTGGCAATCGTCGACGACTCCGATGTGGGATGTGAGGACAATATCTTGGAGTCAAATGACAATGTGCAAACGGTATGTTTTGTTTGATTTTTATTTGGTATCTGTATCAAATAATTCTTAGAGCAGCAATATCTTTGACAACCTCCCAGTGCTTGCACCCCCAAAATCTGTTAACTCAAGCTCCGAACTTGACCAGTACCTCAATATGGATGTGGAACATGTCCCTAACCCTATCGCTTGGTGGTATGAATGTCGGAAGTCTTTCCCCCGACTTTCACACATGGCTATTGACTACCTGACCATCCCTGGTATGTAACTAGCTTTTTTGACACGCTGTAACTTTACATTTGCCCACAGCAACATCTGTTGATGTCGAACGGCTGTTCAGTCGTGGACGTCTCATCCTGTCGCACATCAGAAGTCGTCTATCGGTGCAGTCAACACACGTGCTTCTTTGTCTTGGCCTATGGAGTGAGTTTGGCCTCGTCGAGTCTGAGGACATGATTCAGGTATCAAAGCTCCCAGATGTTATGGGGGAAGACGAAGCCATGGATGATGGATGGGACAGTATTCATAGTACAACTGACACTATTACATTTGTTATTTCATAGGTATAATTCATAGATACCCACAGGTATACCCTCCACGGGTCATACCACAGGTCTGTTTTGCAGATACCCATTGCAAAACCCGTACCCGCAGTTGGGGTATGGGTATATCTGCGGGTACGGGTACGGGTTTCACTGCTGATACCCGGGGGTATACCCATGCAGTTGCCTAGGAATATGGTGGAACTACTCGATAACATTGTGGGGTGTACACAGTGTAGGTTATGTCATTCATCTACTGGATGACATAGATATCATTTGATTTTTGTTCTATCTACCTACTAATCATTGGTTTCATTTGCCTACTCATTTTTGTACTCAGGCTGCGGCTCAGGTCAGGCCAGGCCAGGGCCAAGCCATTGTCAAGGGCTTTGGCTCGGCTTGTGATTTCTGAAAACCTAAGCTGTCTGAAGCCAGGGCAGCCAAGCTGGGCCAGAACATCACTACTGCCAACAAAGAAGACTCCACACATGAGTTGATTGATGCCAAAAAGGCAACAGGTTGAGAGTCCAGGAGAGAAATGTGATAATGACTTGTGATGATGTTTTGATGAATGGACGGTAGCATGGTTGGAGAAGCTCAGGGAGTCATTTGAAGAGAATGCAAGAGAGGCAGTAGTGGACCAAGACTGAGTGGGAGTACCCTCCCTGCTGTGATTGTGGTTGGAATGAAGCTAAAGACAAAGAACACATCAGTCCCCCATCCAGAGTTGAGTCTACATGTGCAACATACCTAAAAGAAACATCATAGCTTACAAGGATTAGGTCTGATGATGACTACAAGATATTATCAGTGCAGATCATTGCATGGTTGTTGAGATGAGGGTTGATACTGCTATTAGACACAAAGCCGCTGGCTCCGGCTTTTCAACAACCCAAGCCAAGCCATGGGCCATGACTTTGGCCTGGTTCAGCTTGGCCTAATTAGGCCTGGCTTTGGCCGGCTCACGGCCTAAAGCCAGGCCATGCACATCACTACCTGCAATTGTTTCAGGGTCAGCAAATTCAGGAAGTCAGGTGGGTGTTCCTATGCTCTTGCTGCCAAGTTGCCAACTTACATATGAGCCCTCTTTCCAGGTCCATACTGGGCTACTGTGATCTACACAGCCCAGTAAGTGTCAGGTATCATATGTCTTGTTTGCACACTATTTGTTGTTGTCATGCACTCTAACTAATTCAACATTAGCACAGTAGAGAGTTTGGCCCCACCAGCTCATTGGACACTTGCAACTATCTTGATCTTGATGCAATGAGTGAATATTAATCAAGCTTTGAATATGGCACATTGTTTCAAGAGTGAGTCACTTCTATCTGATGAGTCATTTGTACATACCAATGCTTTGTTTGAGTCTGCTGGTCTTTTTGACGTCTTTCAATGGTGGTACTTATTTTTGTTTAATTATGATGTAATTGATATTCGTGTATCTTGATGTTGACTGAATTCAAGATAATTTATGATAATGAATGGAAAATCAATGGAATTCCAGCCACAGTTGAATAATCTCATTTACTTTTATTTCAGCAGAATTCCATGGAATTCCCTGGAATTACCTTGATTTCGTGTCCCTGATGAATATGGTGGGGAGAAAGAAGGGCAGAGAGAAAGAAGGGTGGGACAACAGAAATTTGGCCCCAACAATTTATGTTGCTTTGGGGGTGCCGTGCGGCATGACCTTCATAGCTTGCACAAGTTGCAATGACATAATGGATGGACTTCACAAAACAAAGGTTGCACTCAGTGATGCAAAAAAAAAAGTTTGTGTTTGTGATGTGCAATTTGCACTTTGCGATACGGAATTTGTGCCCTTACATAGCTTGATACGAAGATGTTATGCAATATGAACTTTGCAAAGGTAATAAATGACGAAAAGCTCAGGAAGGAGCACACCCTGACACAGTATTAATACGGTAATTCATGTCTCGACACATACAGTCCTCTCCCATCATAACCAGTCCTTAGTGGGGTTCAGAACTGGTTCGGTGGGTTCAGAACCGGACAACGGCAACTTTAAGCACGAGTGTCCGGCTTTCCATAATCATAGAGTGCGGTGGTCCTGTGTGATGTTGGCTATTTAGCGGATAAGGCTCGAAGGCAACGGCACAAAGAGAGGAGAGAGTTCGAACATAAGTGACAGGATCAAAGTCTCCAATTTGGGGGTTCAAACAACTCTGCTCTAATACTACGACTATGTGCGATACTTAAGGTCTACTGAACGGCCGATGTTGTGCAGTATCTAAACGGGAAGGATAGGAAACAATGCGGGTAATGCAGGGCTCGGCCGACACAAGCCAGATAACTATGAAACCGGTAAGTAGAAGGGAGAATGGAGTCAGACAGAAACAATATCAACTAGGAACAGATAACCGGGAGCTGAAGTAGGGCGTAACCGTTACATCTCTCCCTCCAGGGAGACGTCTGTCTCCCTTGACTCTTTTGGTGGTGGGATATCAGTCCTCAGTGGCCATGGTCTCTTCGATGACTGGGCCAGAAGATGTACCCACGACGGGGTATGTAGTGGGCAGGTTGGTCTCCTTCCGAATCCTCCCCAATCCCTTCTTTTGTAACTTCTGCGCCTGCTTGCGCCCAAAGTTCTTCTCCTTTCGCTGTCCTGCCCGACGCATCTCCATCTTCTCTCGCTGATGGGTGGCACTCAATGCCGTGTGCCAGACCATCTTCTCCATTTGTGCCATGCGAGTGGAGGAAACAGTGGTATCGTCTTTATTGTCGTCCCCAATGATATCCAATGCCTCAATTGAGGAGCCGGCGCTAACGACGGTGCCGTGCTCGTCTAAGTACGAGGCTGATGAGTGCAGGCCCTCGCTGTTGAAGGCCTGCGCAAAGAACTCGTACCCCAGAGGGCCGGGGGGACGGGAGCGAGGTCCTTTGTTACGAAGGATGTGAGAGTAGGCTACGAACAGTTTGAGCTGGTCGCATGTGATGAGGTGGGCCTCGTCGGGGTTTTCAGGGTTGCGAATGAGAACATCGTGTCCGTGCCCCACAAAGTACAGCAAGTCTCCCTCATCTTGGGGGACAGTCATGGTGAATAGCGATAGCTCGGTCTCTTCGGACCACGAGAAGGATGGTGAGAGTGCTGATGATGGGATGAAGGACGAGGTGGGTTGTTCTGGTGGTGTAGGGACGGGTACTGACTTTATATTATTTCCTCCTAGTGACATGACCCCAATATAACTTGTCAGGTCGTCGCCAGGTGGAGTCCCTTGCCCCTCTGTCAACTCAGAGATATTAGCGTAGCCGAAGGAGTCCAGGTACTCGCCTAAGGCATCCAAATGGCACACTTGCCCGTATGGCAACCAGGTGATGTCCCCGGCTTGCCACTTTACCTCGAACGTGGTGTTCTGCCCTGCCCCATGGTGCGAGAGGACGCGATCCACTAACCATTCACCCTCTCGCTTGTTATCCAGGTCCACCACCTGCGTGTCCAGGCGTCCAGGGAAGAGTTGGTTGTCGTTTGGAATGTGGATGCGAAGGAGGGAGGGGTGGAAGATGGGGTGTATTCTGCGTTGTCGTAAACGACTAGGTAAGTCCGCCAGGAAAGAGTTATTACCGTAGCTTTTGATAAGCTGGTAGGGTCCTATATATTTGGGCATCAGTTTGCATGCCGAGCCCTTGGGCAGAGACAAGTTCTTTGTCGAAATGTAAGCCAAGTCTCCTTCCTTAAACGGACATGGTTGACATCGTTTGTTTGCGTAGTGCGTTTGTTTCACACGCACATGTAGGATAGAGTCATGTGCTGACATAGCTGCCTGCTTCATCTTCTGCAGGTACATGCGCACGCTGGGATACTTGTCCCTCGTCGGGTTGTCCCAAACCATGGCGCGGGGAGTTTGCCCATAGTTTGCCTTGAAAGGTGAGGTCAGTGTTGACTCTGAGCTCGCTGAATTGATAGCGAATTCTATCACAGGAAGCTTCGACACCCAGTCCACCTGTCTGGCGCCGATTATGGACCTCAGCATTTGTCCCAATGTCCGGTTGGCTCGCTTGGTCGCGCCATCCGACTCTGGATGGTATGCGCTCGACATCTGTTGGTTGACCCCGATTAGTTTATTGAGGTCAGTCCAGAATGCACTCGTGAAGAGGACGTCTCGGTCGCTGATGATAGATCTAGGAAGTCCGTGCAGTTTATATACTTCTGCGAAGACTAGCTCGGCCACCTCCCGCGCCTTATAGTTGACTCGGCTGGGCACCAGGTGCACCATCGAGGTGAGTCTGTCAATTATGACAGTTATTGTGTCGTACTCACCGTCCCGGTCTTTAGACATTGGCAATGGCCCTATGAAGTCGATTCCGATGGACTCCCAGGGTTTTGTGGGGACCGGCAAGGTGTGTAACAGCCCGTACGGTTTATGATTGGCTGGCTTACTTCTTTTGCAGGTCATGCAGGATGTGCAGTAGGATGTTACATCTGCTGCCATTGTCTTCCACCAGACGTGGTCTCTTAGGTAGGTTAGTGTCTTTTGTGCTCCTAAGTGAGCTAACAGTGAGTGAGCCTGCGAGATCACCACCTCCCGGATACTCCGGCCATCCATCCTTAGGTCTGGGATGCATAAAAGGGTATGGTCCTTCAGCCGGATGCGTATCAACTCCTGCATCGTCTTGAAGTTCCGATATTCACTGGGTGAATCCAGTATTTTCTGGAAGAATGGGTTCTCCTGATAATGACCCTTAATTTGTTTGATTAGCTGGTCCTCCTCAGGGTACCATAATGGGCTCGCCGGTAAGTTGTCTGCCTCTGGGGTGTTCGACACTGACATGCTTCGTGACTGCTTGCCAGCGTCCTCACCCTCCTTTCGTTCGCATGGGCCATGCAGGACGAAACGCCCAGCCACCCTCCTGGCAAACTCTGCCACCGTCTCCGGACGACCAGTCTCAGCTGGTTCCTCCATCTGAGGACGACCCTGCCACCCACCACCCAACTTACCACCCCCTGAGGCGGTCACTGCTGGTTTGGTTGGCGGCAGGTTGATCATGCTAGGTGTGGGGCATCCCCCTAGGTTGGTCATGCCAGGTGTGGGTTCATCCCCACCTGGCCCTAGGTTGATCATGCCAGGTGTGGGGTGATTCCCACCCCGCTGTTGGTTGATCACGCCAGGTGTGGGTCTAGACCTACCCAGCTGTAGGTTGATCATGCCAGGTGTGGTGTCATACCCGCCTGGTGGTTGGTTGGTCGCGCCAGGTGTGGGTGTATCCCTACCTGGTGGTAGGTTGATCATGCCAGGTGTGGGCCTGGTTGTAGCAACCTCTTTCGGCACCGGCTGGTGTGCCCTCTTTGGATGCCTCGCATCCTGCCTCCCCTTAGCCCCCAGGCGGGTGCTCCATCGCACCATCAATCCTGGAGAAGCGACCTCGGCTTCCGTACCCACCAGCACCGGCATCGAAATAATGGTGTGCAATGGACGCTCGTCCATTGCTCCATCATGAGCGGCATACTCGCTCTCGGCCCACACGGTGCCCAGCTCATCATATGAGTACATGCATGATAGCACATCCGGTAAGATGTTCTCCTCCCCTGGGATGTATCTGACTTCGAAGTCGAATTCACCCAGCTTCTCAAACCAACGCGCTTGTCGGCCGGATACCTCCTTCTGGTGCAGCAGGTGCACCAGGCCCTTGTGGTCAGTCAGCCATACAAACCTGGCTCCCTGCAAGATGTCGCGGTGTCGCAGCATCCCTTCCACCCCGGCCAGCATTTCCTGCTCGTGGACGGCGTAGTTCTGCTGCGCTGAGCTTAGTTTGGCGCTGTATAGTGCTGCCACTTTTGATGTGCGCCAGTCCTCGCCCTGCGCCACTACTGCGGATATGCCTTTGGCACTGGCGTCTGTCATCAGCCAGATGGTAGGTGCGTCCTCACCATATTCCAGGGGCACCCGATGATGATCTTTACAGTGCTCGATGTAACATTTAACCTTGTCAAACGCCTGCTGGTGAGTGTATTCCCAATGGAAGGGCACAGTGTCCCCAGTGATTTCTGACAGGATGCCCATGGGTACACAAACATTGTGGATATTGTCGGCGAGGAAGCCCACCACACCCAGGAAACTTCTCAGCGCATCCCGGTTCACTGGGGTTTTCCAGTTTAGGATGCGGTCCACCTTGTCAGGGTCCATCCGGATCCCAGCATCGTCGACCACCCGCCCCAGCACCTTCAGTTCCTTGCACAGGAACTGAAGTTTTCCTTCACTTAAGTAAAGCTTTTTGTGCTCAAGGATTCCCAGCACGGTCTTCACGTGTTGCATGTGTTCTTCGAGTGAGTCTGAATATATTATTAAATCATCCAGGTACACGTCTAACCAGTTGCCAATATATTCTCCGAACAGGTAGTTCATCAGAGCCTGGTACATTGCAGGTGCGTTGCAGTCTCCCTGCTGTAACACCTCACTAACCATGTTTCCATCAGGTGTTGTCACCGCGGATCGTCCGACGTGCTCAGGGACAATCCGAATCTGCTCGTATGTGTCCTGGCCATCGATGATGGACCGATACTTCTTGTGTGCCACGCGCCGCAGGATTCCATCTATATCCGGTAAAGGTGAGGATAGTTTCTTAGTGTTTGTGTTGCGCTCACACAAGTCTATAACTGTTCGCAGCTTATCAGAGCCCAGCTTCCGGATGAATAGCATCGGGACAGTATTGCCCACACTTGTCATGTGCCACCTGCCCGTAGCTAGGTACGCCTTTCGTTTCTCGCCCCATTGGGGCCTTAGCAGTTCAGGGCACCTAGAAGGTTGCCACTTATAGATTTTTTCAGGATCTATCAGTGGGATAGTGTGATTTATCGCCCGCAGCGGTGGCAAGCCTGTTTCGCTTGCTTTTGTGCACAACGGTTTTGCCAGGCGGCGTAACTCCTCGCGTGCTCATTCAAGGTTCTCCTCGTATGCCTCTGCCATGCGCGACTCCAGGACGGACACCTGCTCTCCCTTTATTGGGAGGGCTCTATCACTCCCAATCACCATCCTTGGCGGATTGAGCCCAACCATAGCTTGGTGTTGGAATAGGAATGGGGTGCCGAGCACTAAGTCATAATTTTGTAAGTTTATGATGTCAAAAAAACGCATCTCGCTGATCTTTTGATAGGCGAAGTTCATGCTGGTCCCATAGTTGACCTTGGATCGTGAGCCCTGGACAGCCAACTGAATGGTGAGTGGCTTTTCCAGCACTACCTTCTTCACGCGGAGCTGATCCGCAAGGGAAGTAGACATAAAGTCTGCGAGGGAACCTGTGTCCACCAGTGCCCGCGCTGGACGCCCGTTTATGTGCACCACTATCACGATTGGCTTCAGGATCAAACATTTGAAATCGCGAGTGGTCGCCGAGTTTCGCTCGATGGCAGGGTAAGTGCCAGGTGCCACCTGCTGTCCGTTAAGTTCTACCAGCTGGAACTGATCTCTCATTTCAGCGAATTTGATGCTTGGTATCGCGAACAACTGGTGAGCCACCTCCTCCAACGCACAATCCATTGGGCTCAGTGCCTCGTTTTCCAGTGTTCTGAACTGATAATATTCGTTTTCTAGCTCCCTTTCGAGCAGTATTGAATGCATCTGACGGTAAGCCTTCTCGAGGTGTCTTGCGTACCATAGACTAATGTTTAGTTTAGTGTTTGCCAGGTCTGCCTCAGCTGCCCATATTCGGAATATTAGGTTGCGGTCCGTGACCTCATACATCACGCTGTCGTTGAACATGACTTGTTCACATTTAAAACGATTCAATGTCTTGGCGCCTGGTAAGTCTCGCTCTCCATTCAGGATTTCACTGACCCTTCGAGGTATCAGATCGCCCATAGGTTCTCTGTTGTGTCCCTTCCGGGTCTCTGATCTGGGCCATCCTAACTGCTTTGCCTGGTGGGTGGTGTACCAATCGCCCAAAAGGAACTTCGGGTTCCTCAACAGGATGCTAGGTATTAGTAGGTCTTCCTCCAGCTGGCGGGCCCCATCCATTATGACATGGTGAGTCGCCGATGTCCAGTACACGACAAAACGCTGACCAGAGAATGATTCCTCCCTTTCTAGATTGTCACCTGGGTAGGGCGCGTGAAGCGCTAGCAGTCGTTTGGCTTTGTTCGCGAGAGGGTCTCCCATTAGTGAGTCTTTAGTAGGGTCTCTGCGATCAAGTGAGTTTTCAGTTGTTCCTTCGCAGTGTAGGCTCATGCTCCCTATAGTCACTTCGGGTATCACCTCCGTGCTATCGGCCAGCGCCCTTAGCTGCTCAGTGTCTGTGTAGTCGACGTGCATCGCATAACTTGGGACTCCAGGGGGTCTATCCCTGGATGTCGAAAGTACTGTTCGTTTTTTAGGGCACTGTCGTGACATGTGCCCGGTTTCTTTGCAAACAAAGCATCGTCCTTCAGACATTAACTTGTTGTGTTCTTCTTTGCTCATTTTAGGTTCATTAAAATGCTCTTTCCGTCGATCCTTGGGATTCGATCGGTCTCGTCGACCTTTGTCTTTGGAGCCGTGGTGCCGGGCTCCATTCTGGTCCTTCGATGATCCCGATGACTGGTTTGGGTATGTCGTCTTATCAGTCCCTTTTGAGGTCCGTCCTGACTTATCTTCTCCAGATGGTTTGTGTCCTTTGGACCCATCATCACATGGCCGAGACCCCACGGTGGAGTTGGCCAGCTCGATAATCTCGGCTGTCTTTTGGACTTTCGATAGCGAGGACACCTCCGGGTTCAGTCTCATTTTGTAGAGTTCGGTTTGGATGCTCGGGTTCAACCAGAACCAGAACTTAACGACTTTGTCTTGTTCAGGTACGTTCCCTATCATTAACCATAGTTCATTTAGTTCTGACAAGTAGTCTCGCACACGCTTGTCCCCTTGATAACATTGGTACAGTTTTTTACGCTGCTTGGTGCTATAGTCCAATGGGAAGCAGTAGTTGAACAACTCAGTAAAGAATTCATCCACTCTCCATGTGCTAGGACTATCTGACACTTGTCTTAGGTAGAACTCGTGCGCCTTTCCCTTGAGAAATCGGGACAAGGTAAACACTCGACATTTTCGCGACACGTTCCCATCCTCCAGATAAGCGGTACCTTCGGTTATAAACCGATGGAACACCCTGGAGTCCTCCACACCATCATATTCGGTGGGGGGGATTGGCTTCAAGGTGCTTTTCCTAGAGGATCTCTTCCTCTTGTGGCTCTTACGTTTCTTCGAACGTTTCCTTCGTTTCTTAGCTGTAGAGTCCGATCTTTCGGACGAGTCACTAGTTTCGCTGGACGTCGAGCTATCGATTGTCTCACTGGATGACGAACTTGAACTCTCCAGCGATTCGGATTCTGGAGAACTCGACGACAGAGAGCTCGTCGATTCTTCGCTTGGTGAGTCCTCGGTGTCTCGTTTGTTCCGTTTCTTATTGTTCTTCCTTTTAGGTTGTATGCGCGTAAACGCATGGCCCAGGTAGCTCTTGGGGGCAATCTGGGCTACTGCATCCATGGCAGGTGGGGTGGATCTCTCCCCATGTTTAGACGGCTTACTCCCTGTCTTCTCCATCATTTCTTTAACAGGATTGGTGCTTCGCAGCTCCCTTCCTGTCCCTTTCGGTTTCTCCTTTCTGGGAGGCTTAATTTTTACCTTCTTGGTAGGTAGGTCTTCCTTCTTTTCGAGCTTCTGTTGTAACCGTTGAATTTGTTTTTCAAACAGCTTCATCATTCGCTCTTCGGTGGCCTTCACGGCCTCCGCTATTGGATCTCCAATGTTAGGGTCATTCTCCTTATCGGAGTCCTCGACTGGTTCTTCCCGTTGGGCTCCCTTAGCCCACTGGTGGGTCTTAGCCCACGTAGAGAGGGCCTCTCTTTGGGCCTCAATGTCTATTTCAGACTCCTCAAGGTTCGCATTCCCCCAGTTCCAGGGGTCAACAGACTTTCCCTTGGGTTGGGATGGCCCCTCCTCGCGTGACGACATCGTCTGTTCACGGGAGTCAGCATTCATTTCGACCTGCTTCCTTTCGAGGATGCGTCGTTTTTCTTCTGTGGTAAGGAGTTTCTCAGCTTCCCTTACTAAGTCAACCTTAGACAGTTTTTTTCCTACAGCTGATGCCTTCTTAGACCTTCTGTGACTGCGTTCGACCGTTTTCCAAGGTGTGTCCACCTCGGACTCATCTGACGATTCACTCAAGCTAATGAATGGGTTATCCAAAACCTTTGTAGCTGAATTAGGTGCTAACGAAGTTTTATAGCTGCTAGGGGTATCCTCGGTGCTTTGAGCACCAGCGGACACGACCTCAGCACCAGGCTGAGGCGTGTCTGCTCTCGTCCGTACCACGTCGCTGAAGGAGCGGCCAGGTCTGAGGACGGGTCCATTGACATGAGAGTCCATTGACTTCTCCACCGTCTGTCATATCCCGCGTTCCGGACCTGGACCTATCACACTTATCATTTCCGGATCTGGCCGACTTCTATGTATCGTCCGGATCCGACCCGCGTCTAACTTCCGTGCCTTATCCCTTTGGTATTTCCCTTATCAGTTAGTACACTTTATTTTCCGTCCCTTATTCATTTCCGTCTTCATTTTACTAAGTTCCGATAGACTAGTAATAGTCGTCCCATATGTTTTATCCATAGCTTGACATAGCCTCGCACTGCACTTACTGTTCTCCGTTATGTCCTCAGTAGTATATAAACCCCTGTACAATCTCTGTAGTTTCCTTAGTTCGAATATCATCTTAGACTCTGCTCATTCCCTCCTCCGTCCGACTTGAGTTTCTCTCTCGTCGACCTCCGCTCGTCTTAGGATCGACTCCTATAGACTTGTCACCTCCGCCTCTACCTCTGGTAGTCCTCCGCTGTTTCCTTTCTAGTTCGGACTTCGTCCGGATTAGTCTTATCTCTCGTTCCCGAACGTCCACCGGAATTCCCGCGCATCGGACATCGGACTCCGGACATCGCCCGACACCCTCCGGACATCGTCCGGTAACCTTCGGACATCGTTCGACAGCCTTCGGAAGTTAGGGGCACGTACTCGGGTAAGGGGCGCAGCGCACGAGCTGAAGCCAAGCCCTTCGGATCCGACCCTTGAGCACGTTCTTAACACCGTCGAGGTATTGCGATTCGTTGTTACTGTCGTTAAAGAAGACTCACTTTGAATATCAGGTGTGTTTTCGACACTGGCAGCGAGTGCAGAGCGCTGAGAACATAAGGCATCAGTAAAAAACTCAAAATGCTGTAGCCCTGGTGACAGCTACATAGAGCTATATAGGCACAGTAGCACTATATAGGCACCCTTCAAGCTACTGTAGCCACTGTAGCGCTATATAGGCACCCTTCAAGCTACTGTAGCCACAGTAGTGCTATGTAGGCACCCTTCAAGCTACATACAACTATATAGCCAAAGTCACCGCTGCTACAGGAGTCAGCTGGAGAAATATTTGCTACAGGTCACTCCAGGCAGCTACAGCGCTCGTGTGATATTAACCTGTCTACAAACTACTTATGACAGACACACCAAACATCTCGCCGTCAATATTTGAACTCGTTAAAATAAAAATCACTTGCCACCTTGCGGTGGAGTTGGCGTGTCGAGCGAGGACTTGTTGCAATCAAAAGGAAGGTGCTCTAACGTGCCACCATTTTGGACTCGTTGAACCGTGTGATAATTGACTTGATGGAATTTTCGCAATATTGTCATATTGCATTGGTATATATTTCTATTATTGTAAGAATATACAAGTAGTCTTGTAGCCTAGTTGTAAAAATGATGCACTTATAATTGTTCAAGGTGTCGGGTTCAATTCCTACCAATTGTACATTATAATGTGTGAAAATCATCTGATGTGAGCACTGGTGACATTTCTTTTGGCCTCGTAACTATCAGGTCCTACTAGTGTTAGTAGCCTGTAGCCTCCTGTAGCTTGCTATGACGAGCTTCCAGTGACTCTCATAGCGAGCTGCGTGGCTATATAGCCACATGTAGAAGGGACTTGACAAACGGGACTACAGGTACTACAGCGACTATATAGCCACCTGTAGTCAAATGGTATTTTCCTGATGGGGGTAGCGGGACTGCATTATGCGGTCTGAAGGTGTTGATAGGTGTCGTCGTCGAGGTGGTGTACTGCGGTGGGCCTAACCGAGTGGGTACCAATGTCGACGAGGATGGTTGTAGAAGGTTTTAAAGTGTAATAGTAGACTTTTGGATGTCAAAAAAGATGTGACGTTGGCTATTTAGCGGATAAGGCTCGAAGGCAATGGCACAAAGAGAGGAGAGAGTTCGAACGTAAGTGACAGGATCAAAGTCTTCAATTCGGGGGTTCAAACAACTCTGCCCTAATACTACGACTATGTGCGATACTTAAGGTCTACTGAACGGCCGATGTTGTGCAGTATCTAAACGGGAAGGATAGGAAACAATGCGGGTAACGCAGGGCTCGGCCGACACGAGCCAGATAACTATGAAACCGGTAAGTAGAAGGGAGAATGGAGTCAGACAGAAACAATATCAACTAGGAACAGATAACCGGGAGCTGAAGTAGGGCGTAACCGTTACATCCTGCTTTCCGAAATTCCTCACCGAAGTTGTTCAAGTTCACACGCGTCACTCATGTGATCAAATTTCGAACCAAGGCAACCTCCTGGCTCCTGCTAAGCAAATAAAATGAGTCTTAGAAAGAGGTACGTATCTATTTCTTTGCTTGGATTCCCTAGCTTATTGTCTCTAGCAAACTCGACTTACTTGTTCGCGTCCGGTATTCAAATCCACTCCCCGCGCCTCCATGTCCACCAAAATTAGTTGATATCCCCACAAATCCTTTGCGCTATGCGCAGCCAACTTTTATCAACGTGGTCACCAACGACACACCTCTCCCGATGATCGTCGACGCCGAATGCGGCATGCCTTTAGATCTTGGGCGATGGGAATATCTTTGGGAAGAGAATGGCAGCGATGATAGTACGTGATTCTTTTTCAAGGGTAGTCTCATGATATTAATGTCCTACAGCACTGAATCCTGACCCGGATAACCTGCCTTCCCTTGACCCAAAGGACCGACTTCTTCTGGGTGATCCCTCAACATATGCTACACCCTACACCATACCCACAACATCAGGGACATCGACACCTCTCCCTCCACACGTACCCTGGCTCCGAAAGACGGAGTATCTTAGCCGCGAAGGCGTACAACGCACTTCATCATCACACGAATCGTGCATCATTGTTTTTATTGTATTTAACTTTAACATTCCTGATTCATTATCTACAGGAAACAACTTCTGCAACCCATTAATGTCTCGCATGAGGCACAGCTTCAAACCATCGAAGCCGGTTTCACCGCTTCTACGTCCCTCGACCTTTCCGCACTTTCTCATCCGAACAAGACTGGTGTCACCGCTATCCAATCATACGACGTCCTCCCAGATGCCGACATCTGGGCGAACGCGTATGATTTATTCCGCTTCAATGAGCGCCCAGGCGAACGACCTATAGACACGGAGGACCCACGGCTGGACTGTGCGATTCTGCGTCCGATGGAGAGCGATGGTGACCACTTTTTAGCGTATTACTTAACGAAGGAGGACGCCGATGCCCTGGAATTTAAGGAGGAGCGGTTCGCACTGAAGAGCGGTGAGGAGAATAGTACAACGGCATTCCACTTCGTACGCGACTATGAGACCGTCAAAATCGAACAAGAAGTGCCCAATGAATTTTTACTTGTCCTCGACAATGGAGACGCAGGTGAGCGTGAGCCAGGCGCATATTACAAGAATATCGAACGCAAAATGACACTCAAGAAGAAGCGGATGAATGTATGTAAAGTCCTCCAAACTCTGCGCACCTCACCCTTTCGTCCAATCCCTTGACTGCCTGATAACTAATAATTGTCCGGCAGCAAAACGACACCTATGCAGACAAATGGCAAGTTGTGCACATTTCGCACGTGGCTATGAGTAGCGACGAACTCGAGGAGCGTAACGAGGCTCTCGCGGAGGTCGTAGATCCACTATACCTCTTTTCGCGCGACGCTGAGGGTGAGGTAGATGCGGATGGTGAAGTGGATATTGGGGGGATAGAGATAGGTGCAGAAGGAGATACAGAAGGAGATGGGGGAATCATGGCAGAAATATTTTAATTTCGTACGTCATCTCGGTCATACATCCATCGCGTAGGACGCACTGCCCGCGCTGCACTCTGATCGATTATACTTCTGCGTTGCTAATGTACTGCACAGGCCCATTTTGAGGACAGCCTCGGTCTCGAATATCTACGCCATGACAAACCGCTACATCCACCAGGGTCCAAGCATATATGAAACATGTACCAAAAATATTTGCTTCCTCGTCTAGTTTCAGCTCCAATTATCGAAGCTGAAGAGTCCCAAGTTGGTTTTGTCCCTTTCAAAAAGTCCTCTATGTGCGGTCATGCTCGCGGTAGCAGAGGTGGTGGTGGCCGAGGTCGCGGCGGGAAGACAAAATCTGATCCTCTTAGGAAGATCCGGTAGTGTCATGACAGCGTTGTGAGTGATGAATTCGGGTGTGGTCCTTTGAAATTGCAAAGTAAATGAGCAGTGGTTAATTTATGGCCAAAATGAGGACAAGAGCAAATGAACGGTGCAGCAGTAGATTGCGGTTTAAGAATAGTATTGGTGTTTTAAAATACGCCTTGTAAAAAGAGCTACACAAGTACATGCAAACAGGCTAAGTCCATTCAATAATTAATGTTAATTAGTCCCTACAGTGCAAATAGCATTATCACCACGATGACACTCCAGAATGCCATCGTTCTACCTATCTGCGCCGATGCAGACCTAGTTACCTCGCCAACGCGATCATCATAGAGGCGTGCCGGTAGCGGTTGCAATATATGCATTCCATGCCTGCACTGTGGCGGTGGGGAAGTAATATGTGGATTCGGTAGTCGCGGAGCCGTAGTAGATGGCAGCCTGTCCTGTCATGATCTCATTTGCCAGGGAAGAGACCTCGCCACCTATGACAGTCGCAGATCCCGAGGAAGTGTTGGTGACCAGCCCAGTCTGGTTGTTTCCAAAGACGAACTCCCTGATAAAGACAAAACCCTTCGGAGTTTCTGTAGTCTGAATTTATGACACTATAGATTATGAAGGACGAGACGTACTGATTGGGGATTTGTGTACCCCACGAGGTGGCCTGCGTGGTCAACAAGGACATAAGTCCAATTGCGTTCCTGATGCACAATACCAGCAAAATCGCCATTATCATCATACCATGGTGTCGATGGTCTGCGCGTGAAACCTTGAATCCCGCCAAAAGTAGTGTTCTAGGCACAATGAGCCGACATTTCTTCACAAACTGGTTATCGTTCAACATACTTGGATAGTAACTGAGGAAGTGATTAACACTTTGACTCGACCGATAGTGGCTACTCACTTTGTGAACCAAGGTGAGGAATGAGGGAGTCATCATTTCCGGAGAATATGACAACAGAGACGTTGTGGGCTGTGGCATTCGTGGCCAAGTCTGTGAGGAATGCCATAGGTCTGTGTTACGTGGTAAGCACCAAATCTGATAGGGTATACAAGGATTCACTGACTCAAGACCTAGAAAAGAGCTCAGTCAGAAAGAATTTTTATGCGAGAGGGCAAATATAAGCTTACTTGGATCACCATTAGTATAGTCTGAGTCAGGATCATTAGTCGAAGAAACCCATGAGAACAGTCGCTGACTAACTGTTGCCGAATGGGTAGTAGATGGAGTCTGCCCAATCCTTGCTCGTCGGTGCATGAATGGCAGCGCGAGTTTGTGGGTTGTTCAAAAAAACTGACCCATCCATAGGTGCCTCAGGGTTTAGGGCATCTGGAATATTATATACCTACGACTTGCAATGAGTACAACGGCGAGAGCAAAATATTACTTACATCGAACATCCCTCCAGAGTCCTTACTGGGTGCTATTGTCTCCATAAGCGACGGTCAAATAATGAAAGCAATGAACATACACCACGGGAAGGTGAAGTTTATGGCATAATCCATTATCTCATCGTAAACATCGCACCCGTACCATGCGTCGATGGTGCCATTTGCACGGCCTACTAAATCACGTTTCCAAGCACCCCGCGCACGCAGGCGCTCATGTTTGGACAGACTAGTGGTCCGCTTTGCCAGACGTGCATTGTACTTCTGTTCCATTTCGGCCAAAAACAGCTTCTTGGAGAATTGACCTTGTCGGGCTCTGTATCGCCTCGATGCAGACATACTAGATGGGTTATCTCCAGGAGTGTAATTCAGGGTTGGGAAGTGTCCGTTTTGGGGATATTCAAGGGTAAGATCATAGCCACAAAGCGCTTCTCTGGGGACAAATTAACGAAATCGCAGGAGTATAATTCGAATACGAGTACGAACTGTTCACGGAAGTACTCAAAGACATCGGTGTCATACCCGATCACCTGGGGATATGTCTCGATGACGCTAAGCTTTAGAATGTGAACACTGTGAAGTAGGTCATCTAGTGAGTAAAAGGCTCACTACCGGGAGGAGTTCAAATGTTTCTCCAGAGGCAATAGAGCCATCTCCGATAGCAATCTTAGCCAACATAACTGGCGGATTCTCCATCTCGAAGTAAGCTTTCGTTATGTAAGGCTGTTCCGAACAATGTTAGTTCTGCGCATACAGCAAGACAGTACACTTGCTATATACATGCCAGCATAGCTTTCACCCGTTAGGTGTAATGGGCGCTTAGCCAAGCCGGGGAAGACCTTGACAAGATTCTCCAAGAACCCAAACTGTGTGCAGTCAGTGAAAGTGAGGTGCAAGTATGATGTGTGTGTGTACTGACGAAGTCCGCCGCCATTTGATCCTCGTCGAAAACTAAAGGAATATGTAAGCTGAGGCAAGCCTCGTAGGATCTAAACGTACTATAACCAGTGGAATCAGCAGTTCCAAACCCAACGCCGCTGACGGGATGATTTCTATTGGAGAGTGGACATCAACACATGATACAACACCTACACTGGCTGGTCTATCCAGACGTAGTCTGCCACTGTGTTCCATGCATAGTGGTTTTCCAATAACGAATAGTCGTTTTGTACATTGATTGGGCCATTCTTTCGCCAATTGTCAAATCCAGAGTCGGCAGCGATCAAAGTAGAACGAAAGACAGACCTCAAACAATAAGCCAACAAGACTTGATGAGCCGGGTCTGCAACGGTCTCAGCACCAAGATGGACAGTGAATATCGTATCGCCTACCCTCCATTTAGCCAAATACCCCATGGTGCGTCAGTCGAATCAGAAGTGAAAGAACCCTCCTCGCTCTCAAATGCCCAGAAAAACAAGGTATCATTAGGATGACCCTCTCTCTGAACAGGAATGTTCCCTGCCCAATTACGAGGGAGGGACCATGTAACATTTGGAAGATTCTCAGTCACTTGGAAGTCTAGGTGTGTAGTGAGCGTTCCTATTACGGGTGGGATCAAGGGTTGACATACAGTCCTGCCACTCCGTATTGTAGCTACCATTCGGCATTCCCGGGTACACTTGAGGCCAGCTGCTTGGGGGAGTGCCAGAGGTTTGTTGTGCCTTTGCAAGTAGAATGAAAGATGCAGCAGTGGCGAAGACAAAGGCGTGCGACCGAGACCGAGACACCATGGCGAAGAAAACAAAACCAGCAAAAGCTGATAATTTACGAAGGTGAAAGGATGTGATGGCGAGCCGCGTTCTTTTATATCAACGACCAGGAAGACTTGGGGCACCAACGGTTGACTTGCCGAAATATGGAGTATACAACTTATAAGATCATCTCACACTATTGTGAGCGGGAATTGTGCCGGCTTCATTTACTACTCGGACAATAGCTGGAGCTCGGATTCGGTTATTGTTAGCACCATCGATGCATCGTCGATTCGTTACACTGGAAAAGGGCTGAATATGCCGCTGCCACGTTCGTGTATTGGCTGCCAAAGAGATCTCGTATGGAAGGCCTCGCATGCATGATGCACCAGACTGCGTGCATGTGCAACAAGAAGCTGAAGCGGAATATCAGCCTAATCTATATAAAGAATCCTCAAAGGATGCGGCGGGACCGCAAGCAGGTCTCAGGGCCCAGACTCAATCGGAGTCTTGTCGCCACACAGGCTCGTTCCTCCCCGAAATTTTCATGTTGGCGTATATAGTTAACGCGAACAAAAGTGTAGTTACCTGAAGACGGCCAAATCATTGATCATAGTACTACTTGGATGAAAGAACTGTCATTAATCCTCATCTATAACAAGTACTATCAATGGCATCCGATATCACCGCGGAAGAAATCGCAAAAGCTGCAAAAGTTGCATTCGAAGAGTCTCAGTTGTTTCCTGCTACTGTCCGAATAGATGCCCTCGCAAAGATCAGACAGCAGCTCGAGGCTAACAAGGCTGAAATATTCGCAGCAAATAAGCTGGATATGGAGGTGCAGCATCGTTTCTCGGCTCAAGATCCATAATGATCCTCACACATTCTCTGCTTGCATACCAAGGCGGCGCAAGTCGAGGTCGATGCAGGAAAGATGTCGAATGCCATGATGAAGCGTCTCGATCTCGGAAAGGGCGATAAATGGGATTCCATGCTCAAGGGCGTGCAAGATGTTGCAGACCTTCCCGATCCAACTGGTGTCGTCTCCTATACTTCACAGCTCGATGACGATCTCGAACTGTATCGTGTCTCGTGTCCGATAGGCGTTCTTCTTGTGATTTTTGAAGCGCGCCCTGAGGTTGTGGTAAATATTGCGGCTCTGGCGATCAAGTCAGGTAAGCCTCTTATCTCCAGCTTGTCATAGGTGCATACGAACCGGCCACTTTCAGGAAACGCTGCAATCCTCAAAGGCGGAAAGGAATCGAATCACACGACACATCTCCTCGCCAAGGCCATCTCCCAGGGATTATCACAGACCTCACTTCCGAGTACGTATGTCCAAGCCATTCAAACGAGGGCAGAAGTTTCTGCACTGCTGGATCTTGACCGCTACATTGACTTGGTCATTCCCCGCGGAGGCAAGAGTCTTGTGAAGGCCATTCAGAATAGCACGCGGATACCAGTCATGGGACATGCGGATGGATTGTGCCATGTATATCTAGATGAATCCGCTGATAGTCAAAAAGCCGTCCGCGTGGTTGTGGACTCAAAGGTAAGTCTCTCAATTGTTGAGGCAGCGATCGTATTCTCACGATAACATATGCTAGACGGATTATCCATCTGCTTGCAATGCTGCAGAAACTCTTATTGTGCACACCTCTCTTCTAAATACGGTGTGGCGAGAGGTTGCACAAGCACTTTTGGCAGCAGACGTTCATCTATTATGTGATTCACATACCTTGTCAGCACTTGCCTCACTTCCCAACGTCCCCGAAAGGTTCTCAAGTCATGTCCACTCGTCCACAGAATCATCCTATTCTGTCGAGCACCTTGATCTTACGATATCTGTCATAGCCCTGCCCTCCCTTCATTCCGCAATTCAATTTATCAACTCTCATTCCTCCCACCACACGGATTCTATCATAACCGAATCCGAACGTGCAGCGTCTGCATTCTGCAGAGGCGTAGACTCTGCAGGGACTTTTGTCAATGCTAGCACACGTTTCGCAGACGGATTCCGTTATGGCTTCGGAACTGAAGTTGGAATTAGTACAGGACGGATACACGCTCGTGGGCCGGTGGGTCTCGAGGGACTTGTCACCTACAAATATATACTGAGGAGCAAGGCGGAGAGGGGTCATACCGTAGGAGAATTTGGGGTAGGAGAGGGGAAGAAGAGCTTCAAGCATGCAGCGATTGCAACAACCAGTGTACCATTCTAACAAAAATGACCAACGCAATAGTTGAAATAAATAGATACTCATGATTGTGCATCCTCTTCCAGCTTTGCCTTCTTTGCAGTAGGGCTGCCATCACCTTCTCCGTCGTCTGCCCTGCGTTTAGCCGGCGCCTCTAATTCAGCAGCTTTCTTCTTCTTCTTCACAACCAATGATGTCAAATCGTTAACCACTGCTGGTTGGCCAGGGACAGATATCGACTGAGCATTCAATTCCGCATCTAGCGCTTTTGCAGCCATTGCAGGAGCAGACTCTGTTGGCTCACTGGGAGTTGTTTTAAGTTCCTCCACCTATGCAAAACCATTGTCACTATACACTTCCTGAACCTGCACGGGCTCACCTTCAGTGCGAGGTCTTCTTTCAATCCTTCACATTCCTTCATTTCGGCTTCCATCTGACTCCTGGTCAGACGGCGCACACCATCTGCGTGTACGTCGGAGCCAATGGCCTTGCCCTTGCCCTTTTTGTCTGTTTTGGCTTCCCGACTAGATTCAGGGAGCAGCTTTCCATCGATTCCGTCATGGAGTTCTGCTAGGCGAGCATCAACGCTTTCCAGAGCCTTCTCCGCGTGCAAGATAGCATCCGAAAGTCGCCCAGAGGTTAGGTCAAGCACTATACTGAGCTTATAGTGTGCTTCAGCAATTTGGCGCGATGAAATCGGGAGAAGATCGAGCTTAAGTGCGAGTCCCTCTGAGTAGTCTGTGATAGCTTGGTCAAATTTCTCTATATGACAGTCTGTTACTATGCGGATACTTAGCCGAGTAAAAGGTGGGCGTACCCGTCTCCAGAGATACATCTCCGAGGGCAATATATGTCTCCGCAAGTTTCATTTTGACTTCGTCATCTTCATCCTTGCCTTTCTCGTAAATTGCACGCGCAAGCTCCAAAACTTCCCATGCGGCATTGAAGTCATCTTCTGGCTCTCCATCTTCCGCTTCAGCATCCTCTTCACCCTCTTCTTCTTCTGCAATTGCGGCTTGACCGAAAAGGTCAATGCCTTCATCTGCATCTCCGGAAAAGGATAGAATAGGACCCTTTCCGTTGGCGCCAGTGCCCGAGACTGCGAGATGATCAGCTGCACCCACAAAACGTAAATAAAACGCGTCACACACGTTTCCCTTCTGCTTCATCTCCGTTCTCAGGCTGCTCCTTACCCAAAACCGAAGCCTGTGATATCGCGTTCTCTAACAGCGCTTTTCCATACGAGAAGTAGAGATTAGCTGTTTCTGGTGCATCCTCGCCCTGCTTCCTTGTTCTATGGGATGAGAGACACACAGCGCGTCAGAACCACAGCTTAATGAGTCCAATTTCAATCACGTACTGAAGTTCCAGGGCAGTAGCATAATATTCTACTGCTTGCTCATATTTTTTTAGGGCGAACGCACGTCTCGCGTGTTCAAGAGCGGTCTCCACAGTCATGTCTGGTGCAAACGCGTCGGTAGCATCTGCCCTCGCTGCTTTAAGTTGTTCGCTGCATTTATGATGATTTCCATCAATAAAAAGCACCAGGTATTTTCGGGGCGCAACTCACGAGGCCATCTTGGAATGACTTAGACCGTCACTTGAAGTGGTAAGGTTGGTGGCGGTAAAGAACAAAGTGCAGCCAGCGGCGGGAAGCGTGACGCGACTTCCGATCACCGTGACCCGGGGTCTTTGACGCTTAACTTATGGAGTCCTCAGTGAAAAGTAAAAATTGGTATTCAAGACGCTTCCACAAGCTCGACTACTAGATTATACAGGAGACAGGTAAAGAAGAAATGAATGGGAGGTCCAGGTAACGTGATATCCGAGCGTAAACGATAGTGGGAACTTGAGCGAGAGATAGCAATAAGAGACAAAATTGAAAAGGAATAGATGCGTGGATAGGATAGGTCAGGACTAAATAAGCGATGCGGTCCCGGTTTGCTGTTGGAAAGGCTGTTGCGAGGGATCCTGGGCTCCAGGGTATCCAAAAGGGCTCCTTCCGTAACTGGATGCAAAGGATGAGGATCCATTGGTTCCGCTGAACTGTGGCAGCGAGCTCATAGTGGGCAGCACAGATCCACCTCCGGCATTGGGCGAAGATGTAGCATACATCGTAGCCCTGAAAGGGTTGGCTCCACCGGTTGCCTGGGGTCTAAGACCTACCCCAAGCGTGGATCTTATATCTGGCTGTGAACTAAGAGCACCAACACCAGTCGGCTGCTGTCCGATGCTCGAAACACCAGCGCCAAAAGCAGAAGTTGTCCCGCTCAAGGCTGGCGGAGAAGACAAACTACCGGGTGTACCAGTGACACTAGGAGTAGTGGGACCGGATTGTGGTATTGGAGGTAGTGATTCTAACAAGGAAGCGCCAAAGGATGATGTGGGTTTAAATGGCTTGATGCCACTAAAGCCGGTCATTTGGGGTTTTAGCTGGTCACCTGAAAGTGACATGGAAGGAGTGTTAGAGGTTATGGTGGCTCCTGTAGGTTGCGTAGACAGTGGAGAGAAAGAAGAAAACAAAGAATCTGATGCAGTCGTGGTGGTCTGTGGGCTGAGTATTCCAGAACTGCTAGGGCTGAATTTTCTGTCCTCTGGTTTTCGGCCGAATGCAAAGGACGAGGCAACACTCGATATCGATGACTCCCCACCAGAAGCCCCTGGTGGTCCAAAAAAGCCCATCTGTTGTGGCTGTGGAGCCTGAGGCGGTGCAAAATCGGTAGGTGGAGCATTATTCGAGCTTCCGCCAGCCATGGCCAACTCCATCAGTGTTGGTGGCTTTGGCACTGGCGGGGCTGGCGTAGTTGGCACTCCAAACGGATTGCGCGAACCAGTCTGATGAGATTTGACAGGTTGTGCTACTGGTGGCGAGGTCGACGATACCTGTGTTGTGCCGAAAGTTGTGAGGGGAGTCGAAGCAGGTCGAGTAGGGACGTCAAATGATGTGCGCGCCCCATTGACCTGTCCAAACTGTGTACTTGTGGAAGGCGTTTGCATTACAAATCCGTTCGAAGACCATGACGGCTGAGGCTGGGAAGCTGGCTGGAATGGTGCGTTGGTTTGTCCAACAGGTTGCAATTGGGGCAAGAAGGCATTCGTTACCCCAAAGTTGAAAGCCGGTGTACTAGTCCCCTGCATCATCACCATGCTCTGTCTAAATGGGTTTGCGCCGGTAGCTTGCGGCTGCAAGAAACCTGTGCCTTGCGGCATTATAAATCCAGTAGGTTGTGGTTGCAAGAAGGTGGAAAAAGGTCGATGTTGGTGTTGAGTGGATGGCGGTTGCTGACTGAAGGCGTTGGGCTGAACTGACTGGAAGGACTGAGGGAAGGCAGTGGCCTGCGGCTGAATTTGACCAGGAAAACCGAAAGGTTGACCTTGGAAAGCACCTGTCATTTGTCGCTGAACGAAAGGATTGGACACTGGCTGTTGACGGAAGTGGTTGGACGTCGGGCTGTGCAAAAATAAGCAACGCCGTTGGGATCTCTGCAATTAATGGTGGCTTACCTGCTAGTCGGAGGATTGAACACGGTAGGTTGATCTTCCTCCACAGAAGCAAAGAAGTCTGCCATAGCCTGAGTAGCTTCAAGCTTGGGTGCGGAAGTGGAAGTTTGAGTGGATGAGCCATTTGATGGGGTGGATGTGGATGCAGTGGAGGTTGCTTGCGACGATGAGGCTGGAAGAAGTCAGATTGTGAATTACTCTGTGGACTTAGTCACCTTTAGGCGCCGAAGATAGAGCCCCACTACGACTTTTCCCATTTCTGTCGACAGCTTCCTTATTTGTCCTGTACTCAATCCTGTTCTGCTCAAAATTGGGGTCGTTCAAGTATTCTTGGAGTGCACCCGCCAACGATACAGGGGCCTGATGACATCTGTGAGTGGTTTAACAAGCGCAGGAAAACTCTACTTGCATGCTTCAAAGTTGGAATAGGAACGTTGAGTAGATTCTGCAATTTTTTTGCGACGCTCAAGTACTCCACCACTCGCTCTGTCTGAGTGCAGAAATGTCGATATATCGAGAGTGCCTGCTCCGCGTCAATCTTTGACATCTCGAAATAGTGTTCTGAGATTTCTTTAAGCAAAAAAATGACACGAGGATGGATAAACAAACCTAATACATTGATGACGCCTTCATTGCCGGCCTGAAAAAGAATGAGCAAATCCTTGACGAGCATGCGGAGCGCAGTTATAGTTAATTCGTCTTCTAGATCATCGAGATAGAACTAATAAATACTGTGTAAGTGATCTGGCAGATTCAGATGTGAGGCGTACCCTGCACTCTACCAGGGTGTCAATCATTGTTTGCACAGTCTTAGTCTCCCGGAGTAGGCCCTTGTCCACTGTCATGACGCGCAATTTCCTTCCCATGATTGTTTTACTCCTTTGAGGCGCCTTGGACTTGGTGGATGCTGACTTTGGGGCCGGAGCACTAGAGTACGCCATATCCTCTTCAATGGAGTTATTGACGCGCATGTCACGATTTGACTCTGCCTGGACACGGATTGCATCATGCTTCAAATCACGATATGCACGTATGCGGGAGTCCAAATAAATAGCGTAGTGCTGGAGATTCTGGGGAGCGTTGTATCCTAAGTACACCGACGAAATAGAAGTGGGTCTATATTTCCATGAGAATTATGACTATGAGCAGAACATACCTTCCCAGTTACCGGCAGAAACATTTCGCAGACGAAGGATTTCCGAAGAAGATAGATGAGATAAGACGTTGTCTGTTGCTCCATTGCGAATCATGGTATGGAGCACGATTAGTGCCTTGAATACAACCTATGCTAGATCGTCAGTTGTAGTCTGAGGTGCTATGAGGCTTATTGCGCACGATTGCATTAGGTTCGCGAAGGCGAGGAACAAGCGCTTTGCAAACGTCATGAACAGCACCATCTTCTGACCAAGTAGCAGCAATTATGGGATCCAGGTACTAGGGGATAAACGTTAGTGTGAAATCCAGTGATATTGGTGTTATTAGAGAGATACCTTTGCCTTTGGAGGAGCCGCCTTTGGTTTGCAAGCTAACTTGACTGTCTTGTCGAAGCTGGACATTGCTCGAAGATGATGTTGGTCATAAGTCATTCACATATTCACTGCCTAATTCTCATACGAACTTCAAACTCAGCTCCGCCAGCTTCCGCCCATACTCCATCCATAAAACATTTAGAAGCCAAGTGAAATATTCAATTATCTTCTTGAAGTCTTTGAAAGTAGCTTCGCATCACTTTCCGTTGCATCCGAGCTATCTTCCAAGTTGACCGTTGACCGCAGGTCCACTGGTTTCCTCATTTGCTGTTGCCACGTGGAACGTGGTTAATCTTGAAATTCCTTCTGCATGACTTTGGCATGACTAGTGTTTCTCTCGCTTTACACGTTCTCCTAGTCAATTAGTTATTGTGCCGGTGTTGTCTGGTACTCGCCATTTACTGCTGTTTCGCCGGTTGCAGGCGGAGCTCAATCAATTTACACCGGTATCTATCTACCGTGGGTGTTTGGGCGTGGAGAGTTCATTCTGCACGCTCTCCTCACGTAGCAAGTCTCTCTGCACCACACTCATTCTTACTGCATAGGAATTCCCATATCTTACTCGACCATGAATTTTCCTGCCAAACTCCTAGGGAACAACGTAGTCACCAAAGCCTCCTCATTGCTGCGTCACAGAGGCATCTCCATTCGTCACATCGTATTTGCATTTGCCTTGTCTATAGCATTGCTCGTGCTTTATTTCAACTACTTCCGACGTACCGGCTACTCGTTTCCTGTCGATGTTATGCACTACGCCCCCGTGACACCAGAGGTATGGACAGACAGATCCTTCCAAGTTAGGGATGCCTTCTTGCATGCCTACCATGGTTATGAGCGCTTCGCATTCCCAAATGATGAGCTCCGCCCTTTATCGAATACCAGCATCAACAAGTGAGCTTACGTATACCTTTCGATTACCCCACATTCGCTCACGTAACAATACAAAGCTTCAATGGATGGGCCGTCACTGCAGTTGACTCCCTTGACACAATGCATATGATGGGCTTAGAACAAGAATATAAGCGCGCAATGACAGCTGTACATGATACAAACTTCACTCTGCCCACGGTGAGCGATGTCCTCTAGCATCTCTCAACGATGCTTAAGTTGCCTATAGAATACCCGCGTGCCATTCTTTGAGACTGTCATACGTCAACTTGGCGGTCTCCTCTCCGCTTATGCACTGACTAATGACGACATATTGCGCATTCGCGCTGATCAACTTGGCACAATATTGGCTCCTGCATTCAGGACCACCAGTGGTTTTCCCAAGTACGGTGTAAACACTATTAGGTAATCTCTATTATTTCCAACCCATATAACTTCTACAGGCCTAATTTTTTGTTGTTGCTTCAGAGGTACAAGCGACGGGCCATTAGTTGGAAGCTTAGCAGAGATTGCAAGCTATCAAATGGAATACGCCTATCTCGGTAAGATTACAGGTAAGAAGGAACATGTCGACCGAGTGAGTTCAAAATAATCTCTATCGTGCATAAGATTGAGCCTATTGCACACAGGCTACAACCGCCACACGTAACTTTGTCGATGCTGATTTGCGCCAACACGGCGGTATGTATCCTATGTATTGGAATATATCGTCGGGACAGGCAAAAGACAGTACGTGCATGATGCATAGTAGATAGACTCCTGCTGACTGCATTCTTGCCATGACCAGCACACCTTTCTGTTGGTGCAGCGTCCGACAGCGCCCACGAGTACATTCTCAAGCAGTACCTGATGACCGCTCGCAAGGACAAGGCAAACCTCGAGATGTGTAAGGTTTCGTTTGCCAATCTTTCGTTTCTATCTAATCACTCTTTGTAGACCTGCGCTTCACCTCCCACGTCCTCAATAACTTGATGTACATTTCGCCGAACCGCCACCTCTTGTACGTTACAGATTCGAAATTATATAGGACCGGCAATCGCCCCACACACAACTTCGAGCATCTATCTTGTTTTTTCCCTGGCCTGCTCGCCCTTGGAGCTCACACTCTTCCCTTAAATAATCTCGAAGAAGTTGGACTGAACTTTACCGCGCTTGCAGATGACCTGCTCCCCAAACAGAAATTAGGCTATGAGGTGCTTGCCTCATTCGATCTAAAGGACTTGCATCTATGGGCCGCCGAAGGGCTGGCACAAACCTGTTACTTGACTTACGCAGACCAGCCGACAGGGTTGGGACCCGATATTATTAATATGCTATCTGGCGGCTCGCGTCCTGAAATACTGTGGATGGACGCCATGCAAGACTGGAGAACATCTGGTAGAATAGGTCCCCCACCTGGAGTGGGAGATAAGCACCCTTGGGTAGGAGATCGCACCCCTAGGAATGCACGAGAGCGTGAGATGGCGTACGCTATGAGGGACTACTACGTTAAGAACGCTGACTACCAACTGAGACCCGAGGTAAGGAAACAGGCCTCCATGGTGTTATATTCTGATATCCGCTTAATAGACTGTAGAGTCGCTTTACATCCTTTATCGTGTTACTGGTGATGTGAAATGGCGGCATCGTGGATGGGACATTTTCCAGGCGATCCAAAAGGAAGCGAAGACTCCATCGGGGTACGCCAACATTGACAAAGTGGACACATATGAGCCACAACAGCTTGATGTGATGCCTAGGTTCGTGCTTCACCTATACGTCTCCTTGTATTTCTTATTAATGGCGTTATGATAGCTTTTTCTTGGCCGAAACGTTGAAGTATCTCTATCTTCTCTTCCAAGAAGACGACCTCGTTCCCTTGGATAAGTGGGTGTTCAATACAGAAGCACATCCATTTCCTGTCTTTGAGTGGACAGAAGAAGAGAAAGAAGCATATGGTGTTTTATGATATGTGCTCCACACACTCCCATTAGATTCAACGGTTATCGTTTCACGAACTGTCAACGTACAATCCAACCGTTGTTTACTTAAATATCGTATTGTGCCGTTCATAATGTGTCGTAGCTTGCATGAAGCTATATGGTCAATGCGAGCTCGTAAGTTGTCGGTAGATTATCGGTGGTGCCAGTCGGTGGGCCGGCCGGTTCGGAACAAGTGTTCATGCACATGAGGTTACCTGGGTTGGACAACGGAAGCCACCAGCGTCAAAGACCCTTCTCTACCACTGGTACCCCATCTCTGCAACGCTATGTCGATTTTGAAACAGGGCGAGTTTGTTGGGTCTCTTGATTGCGGTACAACGTATGGCTATGAATTGACTATGAACTTCCTCGTGATTACTGATGGTGGGCGGCTGGGCCCATGTTTGCAGTTCCGTGCGGTTCATCATCTTTGATCAATACGCAAACATCGTTTCCCAGCATCAATCAGAGTTCCCGCAGTATTACCCGAACCCAGGGTGAGTAGTCACTGGCACCCCCTAATTCTAACCCTGAGACCCTCAATCACTTACTGGCACTGCATGTGGCAGGTGGCATGAGCACGACCCTGAAGAGATACAAGAAATCTCAGAGCAGTGCATCACCCAGGCTTGTGTGAAACTTGAAGAAGCAGGATGGGCCAAGGAGAGCGTGAAGGTCATCGGTACTTGCGTTCATCCAACTCAAAAGGTCTTCGTCCTTCATGAATTGCAGGAATTACGAATCAACGTGAAACCACTGTTGCATGGAGTAGGACTACGGGTAAACCTCTATGCAAGGCTATCGTTTGGACCGATTCTCGTACGAAGAACACTGTCGCTCACTTTGAGCACCTGTTGGCTACGACTGGCATCGAGGTAGAGTCTGGGCAATTTAAGACAGGAGAAGAAGGTGTTGAAGCTCTACGTGACATGTAAGTGATATAATTCTACGTGCTGTGATTGCTCATTCTTGGATAGTACGGGCCTGAAACTCTCCACGTACTTCTCTGGGATCAAACTTCGATGGATGGTTGACAACTACAGTAAAGTCCAGAAGGCCCACCACGAAGATGATCTACTTTTCGGAACAATCGAGTCGTGGGTTGTTTATGTAGGTGTCATTCTGTCAAGGAGTGCGATGGATCTCCCTGATGTACGCACAGAACTTTACAGGCGGTGTCCATGGCGGCATTCATGTTGGCGAAGTCACAAATGCATCTCGCACCCTTTTGCTAAATTTGCACAAGCTTACTTGGGACGAGCGTTTACTGGCTTTTTTTGGTTTCCGACGGTCAATACTACCAAAACTCGTGTCCTCCTCCGAGGTGTATGGCCATCTGTCTCATGGCCCACTGAAGGGAGTTCCTATCGGAGGACTTATTGGGGACCAACAAGGTGCTTTAGTAGGAAACAGGTGTCTCCGCCAAGGAGAAGCCAAATGTACATATGGTACGGGTGCGTTCCTCCTATTCTGTACAGGAAAGGACATTGTCAATAGTAGTCATGGACTTCTGAGCACGGTAGGCAGCCTTCTCAAGGTGTCATGCACCATTTTTCACTAGTTTTTTGTAAGGTGGCTTACCAACCCGGTCCAGGGGCTGCCCCAGTCTATGCACTGGAAGGAAGTAGTGAGCGTGTTGATTTTTTGGTACTACACACATGTGGTAACCTGATGTAGTTGGAGTTGCTGGAAGCGCCATCAAATGGTGAGATGCAAGTCTTGATTTACTGCACCCCCTGAGTCCTCGTGTCAGGTTGCGGGACTCCATGGGTTTCATCAAGTCCGCCAGCGAGATAAATACATTGGCAGCTTCAGTACCTGATAGTGGAGGCGTGTTCTTCGTAACTGCATTTTCTGGCCTACTCGCACCATATTGGGATCCCGGTGCTGCAGGCCTACTTATCGGTACGTTGAATTTACCATGTCCCATTGACGCAATAGCGAGTTTCAAGAACAGGATTATCCTCGTATACCACTCCCGCACATATTGCTCGTGCGACTATGGAAGCTACTGCTTTCCAGACTCGTGCAGTTCTTGAGAGCATGAAGCTCGATTCACGCGCAAAGCTCGAACACCTTAAGGTCGACGGAGGCATGACCAATGGTGATGTTTGTATGGAGATCTTGGCGGACATCGGTGGTTTTGACGTTGTTCGTCCTGACATGAAAGAGTGTGTGCATACCTATAACAAGAACGGAGGATAACACGCTAACTATTAAGGCAGATCAACCGCCCTGGGTTCAGCACTTCTTGCTGGCTCAGCCATCAGATTATTCGGTTGGGATATATCTAAGCCAGCGACGTTGGCGGAAGTCAATACCCAAGGCAGTCGAACTTTCAAGCCCCATATGCCCGAGGAGGATCGGGAAAAAGGGTTCACTACATGGCTGCGTGCCGTCGAGAGGTCAAAGGGCTGGGATGAAGGCGTTTACGAATGAAATGGAAATGATATGATGAAATATAATTTTGGGTGCTACTATATACTGGGTAACACACTACCGAAACTTCTTAAGAGGATCAGATTTTTTCTTCCCGCCGCGGCCTCCGCCCCCACCACCTCTGCTACCGCGAGCACGAGCACGGCCGCGACCGCGTGCAGAGGACTTTTTGAAAGGTACGAAACCAACTTGAGACTCTTCAGCTTCGATAGCTGGAGCTGAAACTAGACGAGGAAGTAAGTATTTTGGTACATGTTTCATATGAGCTTGGACCCTGGTGGGATGTAGCGGTTTGTCATGGCGTAGATATTCGAGATCGAGTGGGTTGTCCTCAAAATGGGCCTGTGCAGTACATGAGCAACACAGAAGTAAATCGATCAGAGTGCTTACTTTGAGTTTCTCTGAGTTGATAATCTCAGTTTTAAGTTCCTTGATTCTAGCCTCTTTGATAGCGCTTCTTGTTACGGACCGCAGTGCGTCGTCCATTCGATATCGGAATGCCTCCACTTGTTTCATATCAAATTTGTACTCCTGTATTTTGGAACCACGTGCCGCCTGCTCTTTCTCAATCCTCGCAAATACAGCCTCGTCATTCTTCGCGCTTTCAAGGCCACCGACGACCTTGTTTTTACCCCATTGATCTTCAGGGACGACATAGGATAATGACATGCCTGTCCGACCAGCGCGGGCCGTGCGTCCTACGCGATGGGTATATGACCGAGATGACGTGGGTAGATCGAAGTTGAGCACACAAGCAACGTCAACAAAGTCTACTCCACGCGTAACGCCATACTCTTTGTCCGACTTCGTACGGCGCTTCTGTTTCTTTGGTTTGGAGGGGCCAGGTTGAGGAGCATTTTGGGGATGCTTCCGCTTTTTAGACGCGGGTTCGAGTTGAGTATCTTTGTCCGAGTTTGTCTCCGCGCGTTGTGACGGCGTCACTGAGAAGCCGTAAGAAGCAATCAAAGCTCTAACAAATGTTACCTGCACTCGTCGCCAACACCATCCTGAAGTCTATCTTCCTCAGGTTCATCGTCAGAATCAGCTTCCGCGTGAGCACCGTGTTCATCAGTCGCAATGATATAGTCGTAAACACCCTTGTTAAACTCTTGCACCGTATGGTATCTATGACATGATGTTAAGCGTGAAAACATGTGTCACAAGTTTCATCCAACCTGGAATTAAGGGGAAGCTCAGAGTTTAGCACACAGCATTTTATTGAGAACTGTTCCAGGAATAGTTTCAAGCGATAGCAACGGTCGACGTCATTGACGAACAGTATGCATTTGCCCTTTATGAGGCGGAGTTTGAGGATGACATATGTGAGAAGGAATTTGTCGACCTCGGAGCACCTAAGCAGGGATAAGAATCAACAAGTGATGACTCAATGCAGAACTGACTGAACAGAGTATTGGCTGAGGAGTAAGGTTTCATCCTCATCTTCTTCCAGCTTCAGGATGGCCTAAAGACCGCAATCAGCAAAGATAAAAGTTGGTGAGTTGGTGAGCTCACTGGACTCCGAAGAGCCAAGCCTTTCAACGCCTCGACATCATCTGTCATGGTTGCACTCATCAAAAATGACTGATACACCTTTGGGAGATATGCTCCAGAAAAGATCTGTCGGACGTCCTCATCGTGCCCATAGGACAAAATGAGATCAGCCTCGTCGATAACAAGAGATTCCAGTGAAGAGAAGTCCAAAGTCTGGATCGATATGAGATACACTCCATGTACTATGAGGCTATGACACACCTTTGATTGAAGCAGCCCGAGGGCACGAGAAGGAGTTGAAATGACGATGTCTGGCTTATCTGCGAGAAGTGCACTGGATGCAGTCATAAGCAAAACCATGTGAGTAGCAGAAACCATCTCACCGTTGCAGATGTGTAGAGGAACCAGTGGCAGAGTTCATAACGATAATCTCCTTCTCGCAATAAGTAAGAAGTCTTTGAAGACATGCCGTGACCTGTTCGGACAATTCGCGAGTGGGCACAAGGATCACAGCGCGTGTCACTTGATAAGCTTCGTCTGAGGCAGACAACGACTTTTTGCACGAGTCGATGAGTACTTGATATATGATCTGAATATAATACACCCACAGATTTTGCACTAAGAATTTTCTGCACGACTGGCATACAATATGCGGCAGTTTTGCCACTCCCTGTCCGAGCTCTTGCAAGTATATCGCGGCCTTCCAGAGCAATGGGCAAGGCTTTTGCTTGAACGAGGGTTGGACGAGCAAAGCCCATGTCTGCAAGGGCGCGTAGTATGCGGGCGTCTAGTAAATGAGCAAAAATCGAGAATGTTGATTTAGAGTCAACCAAGCGTGCTTCCACCATTTTTTCCCTTCGAAACTGCGTCTTCCTGTAGTAGAAGATAGCTGCTAAATGAAGGTTGAAGGTCGTGGGTCTCTCAGTACTTACTTGCAGAGTTGTGGTGGGCCGCGTTTTCAAAACTCACGGTAAACTAGCCAAGAAAGGTATGTTCCCGGCGGCCCGACGACAGCCGAGTCGAGCTATGTAGATTAGTGGCAGGCTGCAGCCACTTGGGAATGAAGATGCTCGTCATTTCTCCCTGACTGTTCTACATCTACAGCAGGATCCACCGTGATCATCATGGACGAAGTGGGACAAATTCGAGTCCGCGAAGACGACTCAAATTCTGCTGAGGTGATGGACAAAGTTTTGTGTGGCATGTACGTGCATTTGAACTATGTCATCTTGAAAACGTATTTTCTAAATCCTATTGATTTCTCTATGAAGCTGTCGTAGACAGTTTTCCAGGTATACATGTCCGGGGTGCAACGTGTCTTACTGCAACCTGACGTGTTTTCGTTCAGAGGTAGGAACATGACCCACTTTCAATAATAAGGCGTTCAAGTTGTGCAGGCTCACTACCAATGTTCGGAGACATTTTATCGAAAAGAAATACAGACAAGCATCGAAACGAAGTCTTCGAAAACACATGAAGAGAGGCAAAAGATGCTCGAGTTGCTGAAGCGCCTCGAAGAGCAAACTCAGGAGGAAGACAGCAGCTTGCTGCGTGACCAGGATGAATCCGACAGTGACTCTAACGATCTTGTCTCTAGATTTGCCGGTGTGGATATTTGTGCGTGATCCTGATTCGTTAGCTAGTCCGTAACCAAACGTGGTCTGTTTAGCTTCAGCATCATCCGACGAATTACTCAGACTTATGACCAAGGAAGAAATAGACAAGTTCTTCAACGCGCTCAGGGACCCAACCAGTCAATTGGCTCAAAAATTACTGTCTAGTGAAGAATTGCAGTCTGTGAGGCGGGAGCCATGGTGGGAAGCTTCCTTGGAAGGATCTCCGAATTCGAGCGGGAGCATGCGATATGGATCAAAACCTGCACTGATGGAGTTCCCGCTCAAGCTCGTAAAAAGCCAGGCTAGTAGTCCCTCTCTGATATACAATGTCTGTGCTGTCCTGTAAGTCTTTAAAATCTGTCGTCACTGGGTGATCGCCTGATTGTAATAGTGTTGCTTATGCGTTTGCTACCCGTCATCTATCTGTTTCACCATTATCCTCTACGGAAAATGATGCGTCAGATGAAGCCGAGGCGCGAAGAATCATCTCGCAAGCTGTCCCGTTCCTGGTAGCCCGTCGGTCACAAGTGCTGTACTCGACGTTGAGCAGTGCTGTCACTGACGTGTGGTCACGCTTTGACCCTGTACGTTTTTTTCTCATTATCAATCACCGAGGTGGTACTCAGTCCTATTCAAGGGAACCATGGGCGCCGAGTCCTTGTCGGCACTGTTGCTTGATTCGTCCATCATAGCGAGACCCAGATTAGTGGTCGCCACATCTTCCGATAACAGCTTATTAAGCGATCATCGGTCTGTTACATTATTAGCCGCACTATCAGACCTCTCTGGTCTTTTTGCTCCACGTTCAGTTGGCGTGCCTAGTCACATTCAGATGAAGCTTAAATTTTATGCCGCTCAAGTCCTCTCGACGCCTCAACCTGTCCTTCGCGCGCTTGCAAACGAACTACAAGATTACGCGCAGGCCCTGAAAGCAGAGGCACGATCAGTAATGGGCAATCCTAGTCTCCAAGGGAAGAATCTTGACGCTTCACAGCCAAAGCCTGCGCCGAAACCTGATATTACAACCAGCGGCTGAAGCTTTGGGCCATCGGTTGAGGACTCGGAGTATCTTTAGTAACGTGGAGGCTCGATCTGTTATTAATCGACGACTCTTAAAAATATATGACAGTATGTGGAGATGCACGATACTAATAAAATGGGTGGGGGTCCGTAGACGCCGTGAAATTTCTTATTTATGCATAGACCTTGTGCACTTAATGCAGCCAACAGAAAGCCGTTTTTGTTGGTAGCACGACCTACTTCATACGTTCCATTCCATCGTACGTATTTCATACGCCAAACTTTGTGTCACATCAAGTAGAGTTGGTGCATTTTTGGGAAAACATCTATATAACTCTACACATAAAGATATAATTTTTCGGCGGATGGATAGTCTGACATCGAAAGTACAATACTCACTAGTTTTTTCCAAAAAAAAAATCAGTATGTTGAGTCCAGCGGCGACTTACAGGCGTACCGCGCAGAAAAGTGCCAAGACTGGTGACCAGCCTGTCGTAAACCGTCTGCCGCCATGCCTTTTCACACTCCGCACCAATACGTTTTTGTGCCGCACTGCGGTGTGCAGTCTCATTGTAGTAACGCTTTGTCACGTCTGGCAGATGATTCTGACAAGCATGTGGCCCCGGAGAAATTTATTTTAACATTCTATATGTATAACCATCATATCGCATTCCAGATTTTTCCGTGGTGATCTAACCTTTGAGAAAGTCAAATATGTACAAAACCAGCCATAACTCGGTGGTAGCAAAAGTTTCACTTCGTTTTTTACCAAAAAATACATAGATATGTAGTTGGAGACTGGAAAGGGACAAAAAGACATGGACATACAAGCACCCGCCTGGTGGTCAACTGTGGGTAGATATGGAAATGCCGCAGCGGTCAGAATTTGCCAGCATTTCAAGAACCTTCAAATATAGATTCACGCATGCCATCTCGGATGCAATGCGGCTGAAGGCGCCTTCACGATGTCTAAATATGGCAGTCTTCCAATATTCTTCCGACATAGATATGCCAGGATTCCCGAATCAGGGAGTCTGAGCAGTGAGGACCCTCCCAGTCACGAAAATCAGAGGGGATATTTAACGTTCACAAGCACCACTAAATTCCTCCCTCACTTTTCTCTCTGACTCGCCAAGATCGTAAAAGGCAGCCTCACTTCAAACCATGTCGGATTCAAACTGCGGTTCTGGTGGAGGCGCGACTACATATGCACAGTTGCGGATCGCATCGATCTTCATCATCCTTATCGGATCGACTAGCGGTGCACTTTTTCCAGTGCTTGCTAAACGGACAAGCTGGCTTCACGTCCCCAAAGCTGTCTTCGAGTGAGCCATGAATTATTCAACGTGAATATGTACAGCGTTCTGATTTGAATCTCGTAGCTTTGCCAAATACTTTGGTTCCGGTGTTATCGTGCGTTCCATCAGCTCATCGATTAAAATCTGTTGTTCACATTTCCGCAGATAGCTACAGCCTTTATTCATCTCCTCAGCCCCGCCATGGCTGAGCTTTCATCACAATGCCTGTCACCGGCTTGGCTGGAGTATGTAAGTCAGAAGTCTCTGGAAGTCGTATCATTACTTACGTATATGTCATATATCACAGCCCTACGCGCTCGCATTAGCCTTGCTCAGCATATTTTCTATATTTATCGTTGAACTGGTGGCCTTCAGGTGGGGTACAGCCAAACTGGCAGCCCTCGGTATGACGCATGGTGCGTTTTGGATTAATCGCGTGCCGAGGCTCCCCTCATTCCAAAACAGATACACACGGTCACGGTCTCGGCGCGCACGCTGCACATGGACCCGAAGGTGTAATGACGGGTGGCGACTCAAACTCTGAGAAGATCAAGGGAGATTTAGAATCTGCACATGAGCATGAGCACCCAGATCTTGCTGCCACGGGGCAGATCATCGGTGTGTTCATCCTAGAATTTGGCGTATTATTGCATAGGTGCGATCTCCCTTGACCCACGTCCAATGATTAATTCATGCTCACTATTTGTGAAGTATGCTTATTGGTCTGACGCTGGCGGTCGACCCGGACTTTAAAATCCTGTTTGTTGTCATCATATTTCACCGTGAGCAATCTCAGTATCCTATGAATCACTGTTGGACTGACATAATACGTAGAAACCTTCGAAGGCCTTGGAGTTGGTACTCGTCTTGCTCACTTACAGCTTCCATCGAAGTACAATTATGTAGCCATCTGTGGTGCGCTGCTGTACGGAATCACCACACCATTAGGCATTGCAGTCGGGCTTGGCGTTCAAACCACGTACAACCCAAACAGTACCACCGCCTCCATCGTGAGTGGAGTGCTCGACTCACTGAGCGCAGGTATCCTGTTGTATACTGGCCTCGTTGAGGTATGTTATAGTTCTTAGTGTCGTGATCAGAGCGCGAGCACTCATCATTTTATGCAGCTTCTTGCTCACGAGTTTATCTTCAACAAAGAGATGATCAACGGATCTAACAGACACGTTGCCTATGCCATCTCATGCATGCTTTTTGGATGTGGGATTATGGCGCTCCTGGGGCGTTGGGCATAACGGACATTAATATAAGTCGAGATTCGAGGTATATGTCCAATAAGTGGGCATATGGCCCATACGGTAACTAGCAGAGAATATACCAGCGGAGTGATACGTGTAACGTGTAACGTAGTACATACGAGTGGGACTTACCGAAATATATGACACATATGCTCGGCGAATTTATCTAAGGAATTGTATTGTATTCCTCCGGCGATGGAACCGTACCTTTATTCCTTGATGGTGCCACTTCCCCTCTTACGTCTTCCATACTAGTTCATGCTATGTAGTAGTTAGACAGACCATCTCTCACACGGCGTTCGAACTCGCAGCCTTGTCTTTACAGCATGTAGCAGACTTACATCAGTCTGTCCAAGAGTACATATGAGAACTTGAGATTCTCAATATGTTGTGATCATCTAGTGTAATTTTGGAGATCTTACTAATAGTGGCAGACTGGCAGTTGTTGGCAAGACCGGAACCTGTCCTGTGGAGGAGTTTTGATTGGTTAGGTTATGCTTTGTTATGCTCTGTTACCTATCTAGCCTATTACTAAGTGGAATATTACCTACTGAGGCTCTAGTTCCTTCGCTTCACCAATAAGATGAAGACTTCACTACTTCTGCTGCTCTCTTTCAGTGGAATTACACTTTCTAAACCTATCAACCAAGTCTTCTATGATGCAGGAAGTAACCGCCAGGTTGTCATACAAGACCAGGTGTTTGACGTGCCCTCTAACCCTCAACCCGGTTTCAATCTAAACCTGGATGAACTCCGGCTAGTTCAGCTATCAGAAGGTCAGGAACCGGTATGGATGACAGAACTTGAGAAGGTGAGGATAACTCATTGTACAGCTACTGCAGGTTTCATTTTCTAACCGCGTGTCATCTAGATTGAGGCTAAAGCCAAAGGGCTTCGTTTCTTCGACATGTACTTATATTCTTTTCTTCGTTTAAATGTCAGTTCTCAATTATGTTTGCACGTCTAGCACAGATAATCGCAATCTCGGTTCGTCTGCTGACTTCCGCGTCGCGACGAAAAGTGGGTATACCTGTCGATTGTGAAAGTCGTGGAGCTTACCATTTCATAGCTTCATACCCGCCGCTGAGCGCTCATGAACAAGTCACCAAAGTCATCAAGACGCTGTCTACCGAGGGTCCAAGGGCAAACTTGGAGAAGTTCTCCAGCTTTAGAACGAGATGTAGGTCTTGTATCCGCCAAGTGTTTCAGTACACTGACTCAGTGTCGTAGACTATCGTAGTGAGGTAATTCCTAATCTGCACAGTCCATCCTGAAACATTCAGCTGCTGTGTAGACAGGCAAGGAAAGTCAACAATGGCTACTGTCCAAGATCAATGAAGTATGTTCTCCGCACATTGCTAGATTGATCGCCGAAGTTTGGTTATTAGGTTACCGCGGATTTCGCATCGCCTTCGTTGAAGTCTCTAATCAGCATCGACGAGTTCCATCATCCTTGGGGACAGCATTCGATTGTAAGGCCTATCATTGAATTTTATTCTCTCGTCGGTAAATTGCTAGCTAGATTGTCAGAATCAACGGTTCCGATGCAGCAAATGATCAGATTGTCATTCTTGGTGCTCACCAAGACAGGTGAATATTGTTGTCTTTGGATGTCATGTTTGCGTAATTGATGTTATTTTCCTAGTACAAACTTGTGGCCATTCCTTGCTGCCCCTGGTAATTTGCGCTTTTTATATTTGAGTTAGCTGGCTGATTTCCAAGTAAGGTGCTGATGATGACGGATCGGGGAGTGTAACCATCCTGGAATCATACCGTGCACTCCTGGCATCTGATTTCCACCCAATTCGGCCTGTTGAGTTCCACTGGTATTCCGCTGAAGTGAGTCATATGAATGCGTGACGTGTGTATGTGTTGCTGATTCGGAGTTTTTAGGAGGGTGGTCTTCTTGGTTCACAGGCTATCGCTCAGCACTATGAAGCCCAGGGTTTGAAAGTTTACGCAATGAGCCAGGTATGGGTGATGTCTTAACTTGATCATAGTAACTTGACTTGGGTAGTATGACATGACAGCATGGGTAAAGAGAGGTACAGTTGAGGAAGTTGGTGTAATTGTAGACTATGTGGATTCAGCGTGAGCATATTTTGTTATGATCATTTGTTGTATTCTAACCTGCAATACTAGCTTGACGGAGTTCAACCAAGGGTTAATTACTGAATATCTGGACATACCATTTGTTGAAACCAAATGTGGATATGCTTGTTCCGACCAGTGAGTTATGCTTAATCCTTCGTTATGAATGCCAGCTACTTACGTCTATCACAGTGCTCCTTGGAGCAAAGCGGGATATCCTAGCATCTTTACCATTGGTGAGATAATATTCCATTACTTGCATCTTTATTCTGATTGTGGTGTTAGAGGGGGCTTTTGAGAATTCAAATCACAGGAACATTCATACCGCTAACGAGTTAGTATATCAAACCAAATCGTGAAGACTGGATACTAATTCCAATCTTACAGCCGGATTGATATCTCGGATGAGTTTAGCTTCTCACATATGTTGGAATTTTCTAAATTGGCTGTGGCCTTTGCCATCGAGCTCGGAGGTTAGCTTACTACAGGTGTAGAATATTGTTATGTAGACTCCACTTGGTCTAGACGGGCGTTTCCGGCGTCACCTCTGACGTATTAAATTTGGTTTATTATTACCATAAGGAGCGAGATGTACTAGATTATATCAACTTGTGTCCCACCATTTATAAAGAGCTTCACAAGTACTAGGGTAAACGACCTGTGAGCTCTCTCAGCTCTGTATCTTGAAACGACTATGTCCCAGCCGCAGCGAAAACTATCTGTTCGACGGGGATCTGTCAGTGCGTCAGATCCGTTTGGACATCATGCTCCCCTCAATCATGATCCTAATCGATCATCGTCATCGACTTTGACCATCGTTCGCGTCCTGGATCCCAATTCGCAAGCAGGTGCATCGCAAGGTACTGGGACCACTCCGAGTAATCTTTTAGAATCGTCTGCGCCAGCGCTTCACCGACGTTCACTACGTCATCCTGGGAGTATATCCTCTTCGACAAATGCAGACGGATCATCAGCTGGTAGACTCAGCTTTGCATTTTCATCTTTCGCTCCAAATTCTTCAGCTTCACCATCCTCTTCTGCGTCTGCACCAGCCGTCGCTACTTCCCCTAGCCGACGGGCATCCAGCCCGTCTGCTTCCCCCCGTCTACGCTCTAGTTCACCGCAGTTCACCCGGAGACAATCTGCGTCAGGTTCAACCCCATTCTCTAAACCAAATTTGTCCCCAGAACAGCCCGTAGACCTTGCTCGTCAATCAACTAGCCCTCGTTATGTCCCTCCGCCTGCATCTGCCCCTAGCACTCCTCATCTTCCCGCACTCGCAAGTCCGGTGAATCATGCCGCTGGTGCAATAACGGCACCTGCGACATTCACCCCGTTACCCGATGACATTTACCTTCCTTTCATCGATCGTCCCATCGAAGTGACCCAACTACTATCAACTCATCCCACAACCAAACTTCTTTCCCTCCTCGCTCAGACATTTCCCAGGACACAAGGCCCAGAAAATGTTAACGATTCTACATTCTCTGCTGATCCTGCGACATGGTCCTTCGGGACTTTGCGCTTCTGGCTAACCAATGTTGATAGACAAACAGCCAGTGACGCCCTCTGGGTGTGCAATGCGCGCAGATGTGTTCTTTCTCATTCAGAGCTCATCTGGGAGCGTCTGAAGGGGGCTCTTGGCGTCCCTCCCGAGCTTGAGGTTGACGGAGAATATGATACGGAGAGCGTGATTGCAGTGGACAATCACCCGCTGCGTGTCTCTGTCTCTCCTATTCCAGCAATATTGGATACAGACGGTGCGGTCGAAGGCTTAGGAGAGCCAGACACGCACACTACACCTTTTCTGCCTAGCGATGTCCAATCGACTCAACATGATTCTATGCCCTCATCCCCGCGAGAGGACCCACTCTCAACCCCAACTCACTTGTTGATTGAGCCCATACTCGCGACACCCTCAAACGGGAACGTCTCCACTTGTGGTTCAGCTAATCCACCCCCGCTTAGCCTCCCATCAAACTTGTCACAGTCTACTTCTCTTGGACAAGGAGATGGGCTGCAGGACATCGGTGAGGAGGCAGAAGACGAGGACGGCGCAGACACAGAAGCGCCCGAAAAGGACACTCAACCTGCCGAAGATGCTTTGCAGATTCATGGGTTACGCATTTCCACTTCATCTGTGCCGTCTTCCCCTGCTTTTGTGTCACAACCATTTTCACATCCTACTAGCCCGGTCATGAATTCAAATGACTCAAGACGCAACAGCACGGAGCTTAAATGGTCGTCAGAGTTTACCTTTCCCCTTACTAGGCGCATTTCTCGTACGAGTTCGCATGGCTCGGTCAGTAGCCTTGGACGACCCACGTTCAGGTTGGTATTTCTGTGCTTCTCATGACATACTTGCTAACCCTCCCTCGTTCTCACAGCTACATCCACAACTCAGCCGGATCTGACTTCGGAGACAACGATAGCGAGCGCTTGTATGATCCTGTTGGAGATCGCGGTCCAGGAAATCCGCTGTTCCCCAGCAATTTTGCGCGACTGGCATTGGGCCCAACGCTGAGTGCAAAGTAAGACTTCTCTAAAGCATTACTTGCAACGATCGAATGTTGACCACTCTTCACTCAGTAATCCTAACCTGCGTCCAGCGCATTCGCGCTTTGCCAAGTGGGCACCAGGCGGACGTCCTCCGAGTTGGATTGATGCTTGGGACCCTGTCAAGCACGAATATGCTGCAACCACCGCTAGCGGTAGTAGTATTGGGGGCGGCGAATAAGCTGACGCACCTCATTGCACGCTGCGCTCTCAATAATCAATCTTTTCATTACTCGGCGCATCCTGCATTTTTTTGGTCTTTGACAACTTTTCGATATCTTTTCTTGTCTTTTGGAAGCCGCAGCAATGGTCAAAAAATCTCGCATCCGCAACTTTGTACTTATACTACTGCCCCACTTCTTTCCTTGCTTTGCCCATTTGCCTCTCATCTCTGTAATCATCGTAGTCTGGATTGGAGGGACATATGCATAGGGTACAACAATACACGAATCACGTAGGCTCGCGGAATATACGTAGGTCTCATCGGAAAACACTAGAGCTGATATCTGAGCGGGATATATGAGATATGATACAGTGTGGCTGGGAATCGGGATTTTCGACTGCAGAAGCACATTCAAATCATACACAGGCTTTCATAAACTCACTCTCTTGGTTAGAATCCGTCAGCGTCCCCACCGTACTTCTTCGGCAACTGGTTGGCAGGGATCAGAGGTAGAAGAGCGGTTCCGATGACCTTGGGACCAGAACCAACAACACTCATCTTCGCCACTGTTGCAGCTGATAGGAACGGCTTGAATATCCAAAAAATCCAAGTAAGAAAGCTAGGCACGTTGACAAAGAACTTTTTCGCCTGTGAACAGAATATATTACATTCGGGAGCCAGTAGAGACAGAAATACGAACCAGGAACTCAGGATAGTGGCCCTGGAATATACTGGATGCTTCGGATGCTGCATTCTTGGAGGCCTGTGTTCTATCCGACATGCTTACGCCTTCGTAGTCTGGTGATATTGAATGAAAGCTTAGCAAACATGACTACCAAGATACATACCGTGGATCTGGACCATTTGGTCAACAGTCTCAAAGTCAAGCAGGGCTATACTTTCCTCCATAAAAGCAACACGCCATCTAGAGAGATGTCAGGGACGACACCACGAGAGTGATGATGATGCGTGTATACCTTAAAAAGCGTTGTGTATCACCGAAGACGGCATCCAGATCCTTATTGGCGCCGTATAGATTGTACCTTCAGAAATCGAGTCAGAACGAGATTCGGACTTCTCAGAGGGTACATGATGGACATACGCGATGGGATGTCCGTCTTTGTCCTTTCCATATGTTATTCCAAGCTTTCCAAATATGTCTTCTGGAAACTTTTCCTTCATAACGTCATCGACCTTGAAGGACTTGCGCCATTGCAAAGTAGAGATGAACATGTCCTTGGCCTCCGCAGGATTGAGATTCCTGTCCAGTTGATGTTCATGATAGATTCTAGTCCAAGAAAACGAATCGCACCTGGCACGAAGGAACTTCATTAACACGACGCTGACGCGGGCATCCTTGGGTTTCAGTGGGCTGATGGTGACACCCCACAAGTTATATGGCGTTGACCCAGCACCATCCTGCTCTGGAAATGCCTCCTTGAATGTTTCAGGCAAAGTAGACTGTGATTTACAAATATAGGTTGATGTTACAATTGAACACCATCTCTAAAGTGCATGAATGGTCTTGATTAACTCACGCGGAATTCCTTCAAGGCCTTCCACTCAGCCTCGGTAAACTTCTCCGTCAATGGATTCTGTGGTTCCTTGTCATCTTCTAGCGTAGCCTCAACGGCACTGGACGCGTTCAGAACAGATGTTGGTTCTGGGCGTGGCGTATCCTCCAGCACAGTGGGCGTCACGCCTGGTTGAGGTGCAGCTGCCTCCGTTGTTGTTGTTGCTGTCAGAGCACTATACTCGACTGTGGATTCCGGGGCAGTTGCTGCTGCCGAAACTGTCTCACTATCAACGATCAGAGTCATGTCTACTCAAGTGTAAGAGGGTGTCGAGCTCAAGCTTCAAACGTAGGTATGACGATTACGTCTGAATATGGACTTTAGATCAAACGGGACTTACGCAAATGGCGGTCAGTAGCTAGAGCCTAGAAACACGTATGTACATATCCGCATCGTCATTTGCTCAAAATGAGCGCTATATAGTCTAATGTCATGTAGAGACTGTTGGTAACACCATCTACATTAATCAAAAGGCAACAGTCCTCGAGAATAAATATGGATAGAGATACTAAGTCCTGTTAAGCAGTAACGTGTCCCACAGTGAACGACTCCATCCCGAAATGCTGCTGTATACGTGGGAGCTGATATCCAATAGGGACCGTATTGGAAGTTGGCGAGTCTAGGGAGGGAGGCGGTGACGGGTATGGTTCCGTAGGCGAAACGGTATTTCGCTTTGAAAAGACGGACAAAGGGTCTTGTGAAGGAATTTGGTTAGGATGCCCATGCCCGTTCCCATATGAATCTGGGTGTAAATGCGCATTTGTGGAGATCTGCACCCGAGGTCGGCCAGCAGCAGGGTGTGCCCCCATTCCTGTGGCTGCGGCTACCGGAAGCCCCAGCGTACCAGGGACGGGGGATGATGGCGAGCTCCCATTCAATAACTTCTCCTCTATCCGATTAATGGGGAGCATCATGTCCCGCGTGGCCTCTACCCTGCGCATCCTGTTCTCCCCTCGCTCAACATCATTCTTCGCCGTATTATACAGGTATAAACCGAGAAAGGTCATCCCAATACCGAGACCCTGCATGGGGTGTACGTTTTGGTTGAACCACACTATGGCGATACAGATGACAGCGACGCGCTTGATAAGGGAGGCGATAGAGTACGTCACAGGAGATGTACTGGAAAGGATCACAAATGCGATGATGTTCTGCGCAAAGTGGACGGTGCCGTTCATGAAGAAATAATACGGGATAGAATGAGGAGCCTCATGTCCACGAGCCGGGTGCGTGACATGGACAGAGTCAGCAGTGAGAAGAGGAAGATCGGTGAAGCACCAAATCGGGATCATCAATGCGAATGCCATGGCCGAAGAATAAAATAACAAGTTGAGTTTGTCTAACTTGTTTGACGATGTCTGTGACCCTGATGGCATAATCTTCTTAAAGAAGATATTGGAACTGACGAACACAAGGGCAGAACCAAATGCGCAAATGAGACCTGTCGGATTTGAAGCGGACTCGAACGTACATGCCAGCATGACACCAATGATCAGGGGCAGTAGAGATAAGTACGTCCTTGGAGAGTACTTGACGCCGAAAAGTATGGCGTAAGCGGCAACGGTGAACAGTGGAGATAGAGCCTGAAAGCACGTTCATCACTTAAAAATAAGGAACCGATGGTCCAGCATACCTTGATAGTATGAACGGTGCTGACGGGTATTTTGGAAATTGCAATGCTAGAGAACATATGACCACCAACTTGGAACATGCCCATGGGCAGGGTGCTTCGCAAAATGGCGCGAGTTGGCGGACGCAATTTTGTAAATTGGATGACTGGCGACATGAAGAGTAGGCAGTACCCTGCGACGAATGCAAATTGTACGATTGTGAGGGTGACAGGGTGATTCCATTGATTGAGGATAGTCTTGCCAGTATTTGACGAAAGTGCAGATGTAGCGTACCAGAAACTGCACAAGAGGATAAATCGAGACATTAATACGGCAGAAGATGGGGAAGGTGTTGTGAGAGGGCCAATAGATCGCCGCGAATTCGATGATGCAGATGGTAAGTCGGAGAAAATGGAATAACGAGACAAGAACTTTCTAAATCTCGCCAGGCTTGCATCTGGTGCCAGGCGCAAGGATGATTGTCTTGCATAGGGAATTCCTCCATCCAGGGCAGATGCTAGAGGTTTCTCGCCTAGGAAGGTGGCCTGCCAGCCTTCGCCAGAGTTGAGGTGTTGTTGGTTATCGAAAGCATTATCTGATGAGTAGTTATTATAAGGTAGTTTGGGAGGCAGCTGGCGGTCAAGCATGGGTTATCGAATGTGTTGAAGAGTCTAGCCTAGTGTGATTGTCTTAGATCTAGAAGAAGTAGAAAAAAATGAGCACTGCCGCAGCTGCCGACGTCTTTGGCGGGATAACAGGTTGAACTCAAGTTTAGGTCAAGGATACGCCCGCACGGCCGCAATTCGGTTTGGTTTTATTTGGTGCGTGGCGGGCTGGGCTGAGTAACTTAGAATGATATGCACCGCATGTCAAGAATAATTGACCATTCTGCAGCCAACTGGGGCCACTATTTCTAAAGGTTGATGGTAGCTATGTATTGTTCTACGGCAACCTCTGGTTCATCCCAAAAAATGAAGTGGTTCCCCTCAGTCTGGAATTTGAACTTTACATCTCGTGCCTTTTCGGCATCAGGCCCATAAATTGGCTTGGGGTCAGCCAAACACTTCCTAAATTCATGCAATGCCCAGACAATAACACCAGGACTCGCTCCACCACACATGTACCTGACACGTAGGTTGGGCATGAACTTCTCCGCCAAAGTTGTGTCGAAGATTGCACGTCGTGTCGTGGCCTTGAATACGTCTACTTGAATAGAGACAATGAGTGTGTCGGAAGTACCGAAAGTCTTGGTAGATGTGAACGCTGCGAACTCTTGAGGAGACAGCTCGTTCATGGAGTGAGTTTTGTCTGGGGATTGGTACAACTCGAGGTCATTAATGCTTCCTGAGGTGACATTCTTGTGTGGGAAGTGTCCTGCCACCCATTCATGGAAAAGCTTGAATCTCTTCTCGACATCGGTCTCGGACCAAAGTTCCACATTGAAGCCTGGGGGCTTCGGTATACCAATGAAAACTCCACTTATATCTGTAACACCGTTCATCATTGCGTAAGTGTTAGAAGATAAAATGTGCCTACCGTGACAAACTACAGTATGGAGATATTGTTCAAGGTCAGACAGAACACTAGGTGGCAAGGCATCAAGATGGGCCACAACAGCATGCGCGTGCAATGATCCCAAAGACCACCCCACCAAGGCAATTCCACCGCTGGTACCCTCCGCCAGGGGAATATGTTGCTTGCGGGCAAAATTGACAAGGAAAGTAGCGATATCGACCGCTTGGGTGCGAAGGAAGCTTTCCTGTCCCTCCACTGTACGGGACACGAGACCAGCCAAGTCTGCATCAAGGAAGCTGGTAGTGGGACTATAATCACGCCTGTATAGACTGACTATACGGAGACGGTGCGCAGCAGCTAGAGGGAAAAGCTTCCTGAAAACACCTGCATGAAGAATAAGTCGGTAGGACATTACGCAGCACTATCTAAATCACACCTCCATTGAAACCCAAGCCAGGCACGAAGACTAAGGTTGTATAGGTCTTTCCAGGGACATCGCCGCTATCAAAGTAATAGTAGGACACACCGTCACTGATGGTTAGACTTTCAAGTTCATGTTGCATTGGAGTGGGCATCTTTAGATCGAAGAAACGGTAGTCATGACTACATGCGGTTTCTTATTAGTAAGTGTATTTGCGTTTCGTGTCACTACACCTTTTTGGTATATTCTTTCACAATCCGTCCGTTTTTTGGTCTATAGGGTCCATTAGCCTGGCATCTTCTCCTAGTATGCAATCGCGCCGCTAGACCGACGTGGCAGGCGGCATTTCATGAGATCAAACTCCACTAGTTCACTGCAGCTCAAGTGTTTACCATTAGCAAATGAAGCAGCATACCACTTCTTGAAGAGGGACTAGAGACCTTCGTGCGGTACTTGCACCTATAACCAATGTTTCATACAATCAGTATATCCAATGCATGACAACCTAATCAAAACGGACTGCACCGCAAGGCCATAAGTCGACAACACCGACTTCCTGTTCTTATTCAATGGAGAAGGAGGACCAACTCGAGCCAGGGTTCCGGTGTGAGGAAACAATAATGGACTGTTCAGCTTCATTGCTCAAGAATAGCCTCAAACTGAAGTTCTTATCGTGTCGAATTTATGGATTGTGTTTGAAAGAATATCAATGGTGGAGCGTCCAGGAGTAAAAGGTAGTGTAAGTAGTTAAGACTGTCCGTCCTTTGATCGTCACACGCAGTGATAATGAAAGCTCGTGACGTTTCATCATCTAGTATTTATGCTGATTACTATCGGTTATCACAACTTCGGTCAACCACTGGTTCAGACAGTCACACAATGTAACACGATAGTAACTCAATGTCACATCTGCCGAAACAAGTTCCGCTCGGCATCCAGTATCAGCGCTTCAAGTGCACAGGCCTCGTAGCGTTCATTACTCTAACTAAAAGTTAAACAATCGAAAAGGTTATATTGAATGTACACTATGAACTTGTACAAATTTATGAGGGGCTGTAGGAACTATTTAGATGACTGGGACAGTGCGGTGCAAAAGAAGGTGCTGCAAAGGAGTTCCTTGAACTCCAGCAAGGGCTTCTTGAATCCGCGACTCGCGCTGGATCGTTTTGCTCGGAGTTGGGGTATGGTCATTCTTGCCCCGAGCGCGCCCCATGCACCGTCCAAGACCCTACGAGCACAAATCTGCTAATAGTGAGTGGTTCGGCAAATCTGAAACTCCGCCACGGCAGACTCAGTTTGGTGACAAGCAGACGTGATATTTGGCTCTGTCACACCTGAACAAGGATCTCAATCATTTCTCGACCAAATTCAATTATTCAACTTCGCAGTAGTGTATTATAAGTGTACAATGATATGTGGTTGGATAGAATATGATTTGAAGCAGAGTTAAGTGAGATATTGCAAAGTGTCCGAACCAGTGGTTGACCGAAGTTGTGATAACCGATAGTATGGGACTCAGGCTTACAGGCAATAATATTACATAATCCATAATGAGATCGATCGATCACGTGATTTGTGTTTACCCACCCTAAACTTCTGAGCTCAGTGGGCGTGTTGAGTCAGTCAGACGAAGGCACCGAAATCAGTATTGTCGCCGCCGACGCCGTTCGCTCCTCAAGACTTACATCATGGTCAGTTTTCTCGTCCTGAGCACCTCTTACGGACCCCGTGGTAGCCATGAATACGGTTTTACGCGATCATCGATGTTGGAATGGGTGGATGTGACAATTTAGAGATGGATGTACCAGGATAATTGACTCGCAAATCTTGCTCTTCTTGCCGCTTGATATGCTCAAACGCAGAGCTGACTCTCCCTTGTCATCCGTAGGCACGCGGACCGAAAAAACACTTGAAGCGCCTTGCTGCACCCTCCTCATGGATGTTGGACAAGTTGAGCGGTACTTACGTGCGTGCATCCCAGATCTTTTGGATATCCTTGTTCTAAAGCACCAGAATTATACCCCAGGCTCCCCGTCCTTCTCCTGGTCCCCACAAACTCCGTGAATCGCTCCCCCTCACCATTTTCCTTCGCAACAGGTTGAAGTATGCACTGAACGGCCGTGAAGTTACCTCAATCGTCAAGCAGCGATTGATCAAGGTCGATGGCAAAGTGCGCACAGACACTACCTTCCCTACTGGCTTCATGGGTAAAGAAGCTTTTTTTTCTTGGTTTATTCATTTGATCTCATTTTTTCCGCTGGTTAGACACCATCTCTATCGAGAAGTCCGGCGAGCACTTCCGCCTCCTCTATGATGTCAAGGGTCGTTTCACCATCCACCGTATCACTGCTGAGGAAGCCTCTTACAAGCTCCTGAAAGTCCGCACGGTTGCTCTCGGTGCCAAGGGTGTTCCCCATGTCGTCACTCACGACGGCCGCACCATCCGTTATCCTGACCCTGCCATCAAGGTCAACGACACTCTCAAGTTTGACCTTGAGTCGGGAAAAATCACCGAATTCGTTCACTTTGATACCGGTAACATTGTGATGATTACTGGCGGACGTAACATGGGTCGTGCTGGTGTCATCACACACCGCGAGAAGCACATTGGTGGTTTCGATATTGTGCATGTCAAAGATTCTTTGGACAGGACGTTCGCCACCCGGTAAGTGCCTTCCATAAGCCAACGTAAAAATCTAATGTTTTTGATTAGTATTTCCAACATCTTCGTCATCGGTGATGGTTCAAAGCCCTGGATATCACTACCCAAGGGCAAGGGCACGAAGCTTACCATCTCGGAGGAGAGAGATCTCAGGAGGAGACAGCGGGCTTCTGCCGAACAATAGATATTATCGCGGAAGGTCTATTGATTTCTTTTGCAGCATTTCCTTCACTTTATGCCCCATGTGTATGGCCGATCATCACGCAAAAATGCAGATACTCGCAAGGTGGTTATGAATATATGATTCATCTGCACTCCCTACGTCTCAGCTGAGTTCACTAAACATTCCACCAGCACTGCAGCTGCAGTGTAAAGGGATGGAAAATCACCAGTAATCAGCAGCTCTAGGTTTTACCATGGCCTCCTTACTCCGCTTCTTGTCAACTTCCCAGCATTCCACCCATTTTGCCATCTTCGCTCTGGATTTTTCATTTCCGACATTCACAGTCGCAATTATCTTTACCCAATCACATGACATTGCAAAGCACGTAAGCTCAAAAAATGAACTGTGCTCTGAATAGGGCACGCCGTACATCTGCACAGCGAATGTCGACTTTTGCATGGGTTTCAGGTCTGCATGTGTGAAGGGCCGCGACTGCCCGCGTGATATGATGGATGAGATAGGTGGACTGAGATCGCTGCCGGACGGCGGTGTGTAACTGCAGTAGGCGTTATTGATCGATGGATGAGTGTATGGGGAATGACAAATGCTCACGTCCATCCTGTGGGCCTGAAACCAACCACCCGGGAGTATGTCCCCTTGAACCGTTGCACATATGCCTCGAGCTTGTCTGAAACGATCATGCCCAACGGAACAACATGCACGCCAGCTTCGTTTGGGTCCTTGGTCAATAGTGCATGCAACTCAGGGTCATTTTGACATCGTAGGATGGCAGCCTTGCGCGCATCACAGTAAATTTTGGTCTTGAGAGCTTGTGCGATAGCTAGAAACAATTGAGCGAGCCAGATACGGTCCACACAATACTCACCCTTGACAATGCGTTCTTTACCAATGGAGTAGGTACTACACAAGAGTGGATCAATGGCTGAGCTGGATTTATACCATAACTAACTTACCCGACAACCACCAACATCCTATCTTTGGGTGTTTTCATAACGGTATCGTCTGCCCTATCTGAAGGAATGACCCAAGCGTCCATAGTCGAGTTGCGTTTTCCATTCGTGTCTGGAGCGCCTATCCACTCCCCAGAAACGATTCTTTTGGCTAGCTCTGCACAGGCTGAGATGACCAGCGGCTGCGGAGGAAAGGTATACTGATACACAATAAGCGTTATTGCCTCGTCAAGCTAACTTAACTAACCTTCGAGTCTAGGTAGGTCGTGTCTAGATACACATGGTCAATTTGCTTTCCTCTCACCGCAGGGTGCATTACATGCTGAGGCGAAGCTCTGAAGTCTCCGCAATGCAAATATCGGAAAGTCTTCCCGGAACCAACAAATGGCGATTTGAAGGCGCTGTCACCCGCGTGCACAGTCTGTGGACCCTCAAATAAAAATAGGCACGATCCCGGGCAATGATTAGCTTCAATAAGTGTGACAGTGACCCCGCCGGAGTTGGGAACAATTGTAGGGACATCCATCGGGAGTGGATGAACCCACTTGGGATCAACTGACAACATATATATAATTAAATTAGCTGTATCCCCTAGTTACACTTTTAATATTCATGTTCAACTGAAAAGCTAGAATGAACAATACCTGAGCAATAAATCGGCCCGCTTTTCCAATTTGAAGCGAGGTTGGTATAATGATCGGAATGAGCATGACTAAAAATAGTGTGAAGGCTGTGACGGCGTATCAGTTTGGGATACACACGTTAAAAAGTAGGCGGCGACGCCTGGTATGGTTCCATAGCGGAACGCATCAACGGCGATGGGCATTCCCTGCAGAACTTTGTAAAATGGTGCCTTTCTCCGGCTGCCCTGTGCTCGAGATGATCGAGAACTACGGTCCTCTGCGAGATCTGCTTCCTTCCAAGCTTCATTTTCCTTATAGGATGTCATCAGGACGGCATATAAGTCGGTGGTGTTGTGGACATCTTTGAGTCTACTCGTACTTGGCTCGCATGTGACATCCAAATCTGAAGTTATGATTGCATTTGCGCTTGAGGAACTAACGGTGGAGTCGAGACATTTATTGACATGGTGTTGTCTCTCCTAAAATGTGCATCAGAGGGGTTACTAATCTGCAGCGTGGTCATGTCACCAACCAAGCCAGGTAAACGTGATATGTTGAGCTCGCAGATAGGGCAACTAGCAGGATGGACGCAGTCATTGAGTTGTTCTGAGACATCCTCCATCTCAATGTCATCGTTAGCGGCTTTGATGATGGCCAGCTCATCGTCTCCAACACCCCATTGCTCATCATCACCTGTAAAATCGACATCTACCACATCGATAGAATGTGGTATATTTCCACGATCCCTATAAGGTTTGGGGATACCGACTTCTGCGGATGCGTTTCCTTCAAAAAGTAGCTCATGAGTTGGCTCGACTGAGGACTGGAGTAACAAAGTTGGAACACCGAAGGTAGAGATGCTGGAAGTGGCTTTAATGACCGACGACTGGAGTAAAGTCTCCTTCCTTTCTACAGTGTTCATGCTGCTCTGAACGGGAACTTGCAATAAAGCGGGTTTTCCAAATGTGGGGAGTTTATCCTCATGAGATTCTTCATGATTTGACAAAGCGACACGTGTGAGAGATTGCTTCCACTCGCATTCATTAGAACCACGTAGGTTCCCCTTTTCCTCTAGATCCGGAGAAGCGTGTTGTTTCTGAGCACCTGGAATTGCTCGTGTTTTCCCGTTGTCTCTTTTCGCTATACAATCGTCACTGTCCGAATCTATAATGATGATATTCCGAGATAAGGAAGCTTTGAAGTTCTTCTTGTTCGTTTTGGGAAGGGGGTGTTGAAGCTTGCTTTTCTTTGTAGACGCGTTATTTGAGAAGAAATCGACGATAGTGCGAGATTGTAAAGGTTCCTTGCGTTTCTTGCTCAAGGGAGCCATGCATTGATCGTGCAGATATTACTTGTGTAGAAGGAGTGAGACGGAAAAAAGTTTGAACATTTGTAAGTAAGTCTGGATCCCAAATTGGTGATCGGCGTTTGACACGACTTTGAGTCAATCGACACGTCTGCTGATTCGGATTCCATCGGCACTACGTACGTACTATCAAATCGTAAGCGATTTATCGTGTGGCAAATCGACTTGAGTTTCAATCTAGATTAAGTTCGACTAGTCGAAGGAGAGCCGTTGCTCCTTTAGACAGGGCCATCAGGGTATCGGGTTGTCATCATTTACGATACCGCTCTTATAATAACCAGGTTCGTGCTCTGGCTCTCTAAGACTCGAGCTCATATCAAGATTATCGATCCCTCGACTTACAACATGAACGCTCGTCCTACATCTATCTTACATAGAACGCCATGGACACCTCCCATCGCCATCGCCGCTGATGGTGTTTACATCGATCTGGAGGATGGTCGACGTGTTATCGATGGGATCGGCGGTGCCGCTGTGACTTGCATCGGCGGAAACCATCCCAAGGTAATCAAAGCCCTAAAGGATCAAATCGATGTCATGTCATGTAGTGTCTTTCTCTTCACTCCTTAACACGAGTGACTGATCATGAATAGATGTATACAATATGCAGCTTTCCAGCCCTCCTGCAGAGGAGCTGGCTAAACTGCTCGTGGATACCAGCGATGGTGCCTTTGAGCAGGTCGCATTCTTATCTGGAGGTATTGCCATAGAACTCTCCTTGAACCTTACTGACCACTACCAATTTAGGTTCTGAAGCAATGGAGGCTGTTGTCAAACTCTCGAGACAGGTATGTTGGTATTGTGGAGGCGTAGCCCAAGGGCTCATGAACAAAAATGCAGTATTATGTCGAGGTCGGGCAGCCGAAACGGACGAACTACATTGCCCGTCAACTATCCTTTCATGGAAATACCCTAAGTATTCTCTCCCTTGCATACCATCCTGTCCGCCGTGCGCCGTATGAGGCTATTTTAGACCACCAGAATTTCCACCACGTTTCCCCAGCATTTGCAAAGAGGTTCCAAAAACCGGATGAGACGGAGGAGCAGTACGTCGAGCGACTCCGACAAGAACTCGAGGACAAGTTTATCGAACTCGGTCCCGAGACGGTAATCGGCTGTACGTCATTGTCGTCATGATTTACTCCTTTCAAAATTTGACGATCGGTAGTCGTCGCAGAGACTGTCGTTGGTGCGACAACAGGGGTTGTGAGTGCACCAAAGGGATACTTCAACGCCATGAAATCAGTCTGTCACAAATATGGTGCCCTTTTCATGCTCGATGAGGTAATGACTGGCATGGGCCGTAAGTGATCTCAATATGTTGATCTTGACCACTATTGATGGTGGGTTCGCCAGGAATGGGCACCATGCACGCTTGGCAGAGCTTCGGTGATGGTGCTGCACCTGACCTGCAGGCAGTAGCCAAGGGTTTGGGTGGTGGGCGAGTGGTACACATCCCTTCTCTTTTAATGTTACTGACTGGGCCACAGTTACGCTGCCATAGGTGCTGTGCTCATCTCGCCTAAAGTTGCGAAAGGGATCAGGGGGAGTTCCGGATTGATCAAACACGGTCACACATATCAGGTCGGTACTGTGAGGTTATCGAAGAGCCGGTTATTAACATTTATTCTTGACAGGCAAATCCACTAGCATGTGCAGCATCTTTAGCTGTGCAGAAGGTCATAATTGAAGAGGATCTCCTTGTGCAGTGCAGGAAGAACGGCATACACATGATTGCGCTGCTGAAAGACCGCCTACAGTCCCCAAATGCTCTCGCAGCGCCATATACATTCGATGTGCGCGGGGCTGGGGCTCTCTTTGCGGTCGAATTCGACTTCTCCAGCCTCGAGGCACGCCGTGTTGATATGAAGGGCCAACAATTTGCAATGGCGGTGCAGGCGCGCTGTTTTGAGAATGGACTGATTGCGATGGGCATGGGCGGTGGCTCCTCGCTCGATAGATCAAAGGGGGACCACCTCATGCTCGGCCCTGCGTACAATGCAACCACCGAAGAGATAGAGAAGATTGTGGATATTTTCGTGAAGAGCATTGAGGAAGTGTTAACAGAAAATTTTGCATAAATATCGATCTGTTACACTCGTAAACAAATCGTCATCGAATATTGGATGCTACCTCCAATATTCTCGTCGTTACATTTTCTCCTTATTCATCTTTATTTTCCTTCTATCCAGTTTCATAGATCTCTGTACCCTACAGTATTTAAACTCGCGTAGAACTACTGTTAGGGTAGTTGACCCTTTCCCCGAAGCAACAAGCTTAGTTCTAACAGTTCTCTCTGCTGGACTCTAAGTCGCTTTATAAGTCAACTTCTCGTGTGAACGTCTTTCTAGAGCATCACACGATCACTCCTGTACATAGCATCAAATTTTGTGAATGCAGTAAGCATCCTTGCGTAGTAACCCCAAGCCCTCGGTGATCGGGGTATCCCGCAAGGTTACGCCACCATCGCTTTCGCACGCCTTCTCCAGGCGGCATCTACCCGAATTCGAGCACCGGCTTTAACATTGCGTTGACGCATCGTTTCTTTCTCATTGACCACTAGCTTCCCAACATCTAGCAGAACTTCAGAATCGATGGCTGGGAGCATGTTCTAATGGACTATCAACCAATCTATCAGCAAGAAGCCACAAGCTCCAGTGTATCCTTGCAGCCACTAGAATCAGAACAAGCTCACTTTCCATCCACATCGGCGTCGGTATCGACTATAGATTTCAAGCCAATACGTTCTAGCGCAAGAGTAAAAGCAGCCAAGCAAAAGGAGAAGGAACGCGAGCAGGCGAAAGATAGGGAAGGTGACTCAGCAGAGCAATACATAGCAGTGCCATCAGAGAACACCCGTGAAACTAGGTCAACAACCCAGGCCAAGAACAAGCGTACTCGAGAAGGTAGTTCAGGAAACGGAAAGTTTAAAGAATCGTCAGAAGAAACTGCCCGCGTGAGCAAGAGGTGCGGCGAACATGTTCCCGCACCCATAGTTATATTTAACTGACGTCCTGACAGCAGAGCACATCGAGCGACACTTCCCTCTACATCCGCCCCATCACTTGCAATTACCGAACCAACAAAAGACCGCAAAGGCAAGAAGCGCGCCGCTCCAGAACCGGATTCAGAAGAAGAGGGGCAGAGCACTACCTTATCTTCTAAGCGCACAAGAACTACAGCATATTCCTTGAGATCAAGAACAGACGCCTCAACCTCTGCCTCCGCACCCATGCCTAGAAAACCCAAGTTTGTATTCAACCTCTCTCGCCCTGGATTTGCTCACATGTTACGTTACAGGTCATCACCGAGTAAGGCGAAAGCAGCGACGAAAAGCAAAGTTGGCGCTTCTGCAGGCTCTTCGAAGATGGCTGATGAAGACATTGCGATGCTTGATACTACAATAGTTAGGCCCGATGAACCTGCCTATGAAGAACACCCTGACGGCTGTGATGACGATGACGTCGCCATGGATGACCAAGATAACGGTGGTGATGGCGAAGGCGACGACAACGGGGATGAAGAAGGACGCTTACCAGTTGGTGCTACTCGTGGATTTGCTGGCCTAGACGAATCTGCTGCGATGGCAATTTTTGGAGATTATCGCCAATTTGGATCATACATGGTTTCCCTCTCAAGCCGACTCAAGACCATGTTGAATAATATCAAATCAACCGCGAACCCAACCACTCGCTTGGTAACACTGCAGGAGCTTAGTGAGCTCCTCAGCATAAGCACGGAAGACACTTTAGCAGGCTCGTTCCAAGTGGAACAGTTTGTAAGGGAACTCGTGAAGATCCTTGGTGGGCGCGGCGCAGATGAAGACGAAGACGACGACGGCGGTGATGATGGCGATGATCATGACGAGGACGCGGCTCTAGCTGCTGCATTGGCGATGAGTGGGGGTGGAACATATCAGGGCGATGAGAATCTCGAAGCGCAGATGCTGGCATGTCGTTGCCTGGCAAATCTGATGGAGGCTCTGCCTGGTGTAGCCCACTCCGTTGTCTATCACGGCGCAATACCGGTCCTTTGCAGCAAGTTGATTGAGATATCTTATATTGATCTCGCAGAACAGACTCTGAGCGTGAGTCCCTCAGCTGCAATGCCACATTCTCCCCTAAATTGTGTTTCAGACACTGGAAAAAATATCCGAAGAGTTCCCTAGCTCCATCGTACGAGAAAATGGTTTAGCGGCACTCCTGAACTATCTCGACTTCTTCTCCATCGCTGTACAAAGGACTGCGCTGCAAGCTGCTGCGAATTGTTGCAGAAATATCTCGCCGGATCATTTCCAGATGATTCTTGGCGTCTGGCCCATTATTCGCAATTGCATTGGCTATTCTGACCAGAGGCTGGTTGAATTTGCATGCCTGTGCGTCATCAGAGTTGTGGACTCTTATCATCGCTCCGCGACGGAGAACCTGGAAAGCCTGCTGGATGAGACCGCCATTCGTGCGATCAATTTGCTTCTTATGCCAGCCGGAGGTTCCCCCTTGATTGCTGCTAATACATTCACTTTACTATTGAAGGCACTGGCAACAGCCGCCCGCGCAAGCCCAAAGATTACCCTCAATCTACTTCAGGCAGACATCGTTGATACACTTTACCAGATCCTGACGGGAGTTCTCCCCTCAGCATCTGGCGGCGGGGGCGAGCAAGGTGGCCAAGGGCTGGCCGGCGATGTGACTCATATGACAGTCATGGAGAATCTTGCCCACCGATCCAAGGAGCAAGTGGAAGAAGCCCTCAGTCTGGTGTCCGAACTAATGCCTCCTCTTCCAAAAGGTACGCCTGACAATCTTGTAATAACATGATTGCTTACTCACACCTTTTGAAGATGGCGTGTTTGATCACAAGGGGTATACCGACAAGGCATTGTCACGGATGGTAAAAGCTAAAGCCAAGGCTGATCGCGCTGCTGCGCGTCAAGCTGTATTCGCACCTTATCAGCCAAGCCCTGACACATCGGCGCAAGCAACACCTGCAGCAGAACCATTTCAGGATACCAGCATGAATGACTTTCAAATGCAGGAT